CCTGGACATGTCCAACACACGGACACTCGGAGACAAACAACTTGTCACTCACAACTATTTAGATTCACCCAGCATGATTTTGGTCTGTAGGAAGAAGCCAGAGTCCCCAAAAAAGAAAACCCACGCATGGGATGAACATTCTACCTCTGTGCAGAAAAGCCTCAAGCAGGATTTAACCCTTTGATGCATAATGGTCACCACAGTGGACAGGTACTCAAAATTTTGTTTATTTATTTATTTATTTATTTACTGCAACGAAGCACAGCTGTTGATGACTTTATTGCATTTGAGCTCCTCCATTTGGACTTCAGTAAGTCAAGCCGACATATTTCATGTTCAGAATACACGCTGTCCACTGAGGTGGACATGTAATGAATTATTTGTAAAATATTAAATGGTACGAAAAATATTTGTTGCAATTTGTTTCATTCACACCTAAAGATGAATGAAAACATTGTTTAAAAATGATGGTTGAAGATTTCATAATTCATGCATCAAAGGGTTAAACCTGCAACCTTTCTGCTGTGAGGCAGCAGTGATACCAGCCCTGCTCCAAGAAACAACTTGTTAGGTAATTTTATCTCCCATCCAGGATTACCTTAGGGAAAGTTCAACACGCAGGGGATTTAATAATCAGCTGATCAAAACCATATACCAATAATCGACTAACAAAACAATTTAGACTTTGCAAAGTGGAGAATGAAATACACACCACACAAGAGGTCTGACAGTTCACTCTCGTCAGACAAACTTCTCCAAGAGTATTTATTAAGCAGACACACAAAATGATAAACGCACACACAATTACACACAAACATTCGAGGTTTTCACAGACTCTCAGGCAGGAAGGCACTCGAGGTGAACTTCACAAGGGAGTTCTACTGATAATGGGGACCAGCACCAGCACCAAGTCTGGTACCGAGGGCAAGGTCAATCCTCCCTGTTAGAGCTTACAAAAGCCTGCCTGTTCCCAGAGGAACAGACATAGATGAACCTTCGTTTAAAACCTCCAGATGTCAAACCATTAAAGACATTAACAGTAATATCAGTTTTTATCCAACACAACTAATATGGGAACCAGTTCTTTGCCAAATTTGCAACTAATTACCTTAATAACTTTTTTCAGACCAAACCGTTTTAGTTTTATAAATAATGTAAATGAACAGACATCACTGGTATCCTGGGTTTAAATGGACTTTAACCCTCTGGAGGCAGACGTTGCAGATTTGCAACAGTTAAAACCTACCTACCTGGTTACTCCACATAAGTATTTCATGAGCATTTTTTAACTCAGAAGTACCCCTGAAGGACGTAGTTGTTCGTCTTTTTATCAAAACTAATTGTGAGCCTGAGAGGGTTACGGGGTTATGATGCAAAACACTTCCTTCTTTATGAATGTGAAGAATTGTCTTTTCATAAAAACTCTAAAGTAAAAAACTAAGTATTTTACTCAAACAGCATTCAACAGAAATTGCACACATTGTGTGGCGTTCGTTTGCAAAAACAGATAAAAGGTCATTTTGATCAAAAACACAAAACTTTATTTTAAACGATGTCACATGAAGTAAATAATAAAAAACGTTCTTTTTGGGAAATGTATTAAAACTGAATGAATCAACAAACTCTTCTTCTTTTGCTAAAAAATAAAAGAACGAAGAACATCTAATGTCTTTCTGGGTGTTTTAATTCATTCTTCAGTCAAGAGGGAACGGCATAAAGGAATCAGGGTTGGTGTAAAACTTTAGCTCACAGCTCTAAATAGTAAAGTTAAACAATGTTGGGTAAATATTTGGTTTTCAGATTGTAGACCTGAGTATTTGCAGTTTAAAAATGAGAATTAGTTACTTCTTATACTTTTTATTAGGGATGCAACGATACCACTTTTTCCCAAACCGATAAGATAACAATACTTGGATCTGAATACTCGCTGATACCGATAATTCTACCACACAAAAAAATGCTATGAATCGGAATACAGGTGTATTTCTTCTCTGCTTTCAACAGGAAAAGACTGTGAGGTAGATAAAAGTAAAATATATGAATAGAGATGATCACAAAACTAAAATATTAGGTGAACAGAAATGACAAGCTACAGTGAAGTTACTTTCAAGCTACTGCACTGGTATCGGTTAACTTGCATCCCTACGTTTTATACTTTAGCATTACAACTGCTCTATGCAGAGTATTTCTGCATCTCCTATTTTAAATCAGTATTGATTAAATACACAGTTAATAAGAAAATTAGGGATGATTAGAAATAAAAGCTCTGCAGCTTCCATCTTGTCTTCCATTAACTGGTTTATGAATCCTTTTCGTGTTTATAATGAAATTTTATATTCATGCCAAGCAGAATGTTTTATCTAACAGAAAAGTTCAAACTAATCTCAAAGAGATGCAGTGAAACGATTTGCTTTTCACATCAAAATGAGCACATTTACAAGCAGAAACTGTTAAATCTTGAGTTCAGGAGGAATTTGGTTTCAATTCATTGATTTTAAGCTGTCAAATACATTTAGATGAGTTAAAATTATGAAGCCAAGCAGAGGAAACTGGAATTAACACATATTACACGGCTCTGTTTCATTCATCTGTTTCACTTTTTAGGTTTAAGAAAACAATCAGTCAGCGAATGCAGACTCACTACAGCTGTGACCTGAGTCAGCAGCGAAAGAAAAACACATGAAAAATCAACAGAGCCGAAACAGCCGGGAAGAGCAGCACCCTGTTACTCGGTTTAGAGCTAAAGTGATGAAAGCACAAATAAAACCTCGTGCACTCAGCTCCGAACCATCATCAGAATCTGCAGGGATGAGAAACACTGGCGGTAACTCACAGGATGAAAACAAAGCAGCAGGATGTTGTTTTTTTCTTCCTTGTTTGACCCTCAAGCCGGAAAGCTGAGAAACCAGCCGCTCGGTCTGACTGAGCCTACTTTTGTGCTGCTGTTGCAGTGCAGTTTGGACACAGCTCACCTCACCTTTAACGTGTTATCACTGTGCACTCAACGTGTATGCCAAGAAACACCGATCCAGCAGCCACAAAAGCCTTAAGGGAGTATAAATGATTTAAACGACTCCCCTGGAACACGGAAACACTCTCCTTTTTATTGGCTGGCTTCAGACTCTTCCTGCACCCATTTATATCAACCCAACACACACACACACTCTCTCACACACACACACACACACACACACACACACAGAGACACACACACACACACACACACACACACACACACACACACAGACACACACACACACACACACACACACACACACACACACACACACACACACACACACACACAATCCATATACAAACAGCACAACTGAAAAGCACTCCTCCATGCATGACGCTCCAGAGAACACACAAAGTAAACGTGTCAGCACCCACAACCAGGCTCAGTAGTCCTCTGCCTCCAGCGAGAATCAGAACCAAATCTGACAGATAACCCTTCCTTCCGGTTTCAGTGACTTTAATTTTAAAAAGCCTCATTTAGATTCTTCTCACTGCGTAGCAGGTTCCAGACTAAGCTCTTCTTTTAATTATAGCCTGCATAACGTCACACAGAGCCTACAGTTTTGTGTGGACATGATGTAAGATTTGTAATAATATTGGTAATCTGTCTGTTTGTTTTATGCTGTTCTATCTTTTATTGTTGTGTATTTTATCTCTGTAAAGTGTCCTTGAGTGTTTAGAAAGGTGCTGTTGAAATAAAATGTATTATTATTATTATAATATTGCTCAGATGTGGAGTGGACTTCAAACACTGTGATAATTAAACTGGACGAGATCGCTTCGCTCTTTCAATTTATAGTTTTTTGCATTTTTAATGTTCCTGAGCAAAACGCCGAGGGCTCTGTAATCTATGAGGGGGGATGTGCACTAAAGTCACCGTGCTGCGTCTGCAGGCTCTAGTGTTTGTGACCAAGTTTGAAAAGCTTGGTGACAATTTGATGAAAACAGAGGATTTCAAATCTTCTCCAGGAAGCAGCCTAGCCTGAACACGGCGAGCGCGGCCTGCAGCTACAGCTGTAGAGCCTGCCAGTGTTCTGAGCTGTTGGCTCAGCTACACCCATATACAACCTGTGCATTGAATAAATTGTCTGCTGCTGCTGTGACGGCCCTGAGTGCAGACTCCTCGGGGAAATCAGCCCACTTCTTGTTGTGTCAGAGTCACCAGAGGTGGAAGGAGTGGTGGGGTTCAGGTGGGAGGAGGGAGAAGTTTAAAAGGAGGCTCCACCACGGTCATTTAGTCAAGCTGCACCTTCAGTCCTGCCTGTGAGAGAAGTGGGTCACCAAGGAGCTGAGTGTTCGAGAGGTTGATCTTCTGAGTTTAAAATGTCAAGAAGGAGGTGAACACTTGTTCTATATTTAAGCAATAAATGCTCATAACAGAGACAATAATATCACTGATGTGCTGCAGGCCGTTCTCTCACATAGATGTAAACTATTTCATATTTGCAGTCTGATTTTTTTCTGTTTACTGTTGGCAGCTTTGAAGTTGTCCAAATCGATCAATCCTTAACGATGACATAAAGTGTCGCCATTGGCAGAAAGATGAACATATTTGGCATCATTTAAAGCAGAGTTGATCTTCTGAGGCCTATTTTCAGTCAAGCTCCAATGAGAAGTGAACACCAGCCCCCAGTGGCTGCTGCCCCCAGCCATTGGGGGCACTGCTCTGACTCTGTGGACCTTCACCTTTTGATCCGTTTAAATCTTTTGCCCAGGGTTCATCTAACTTCCATCACCCTTTCATTTAGGAATGATGCAGTCTTTTATTTTTAAAAGGTCAGAAGATCTCAGCAGCTGGAAAATGGCAAAACCACAAGACTCCCGTCTCCTGCTGAGCTTCTCCAGTCACATCACTCAGACTAAATGCACGTGCCAGGTTCAAACCGAACGTCTATTTAAATGTCTTATTAAATAATTAAGGGGTTATTTCTAAATCTACACAAAATAAATACCAAACGTCTGATTTCCATCCCAGCACGTACCTGACTGAGTCACATTGTCCTGTGGTTGATGTTGACCGTGGAGAGGCAGCATCCTTGTGGCAGCGGAGGAGCGTTGTGCGTGGGACTGCGGCGGAACTTCTCCAAGGATGCGCCTGACTCCAGTACGCACACCTCGGTCAGGGGCAGATCAGATCAAAATAAAAACAAGGAAAATCCCACACCGCAGCTGCTGGACCAGCAGTCAGGAGGTCAGACAGACATCTAGACCCAGAGAGCCATCGTTCACGGCGCAGAGGACGCACCAAATTAGTCGGTCACCGGACAAAGACGCTCCGCGGGATGAGCGCCTTTTACGCGCAAGAATCCTGCAAAAGAACAGTTTCACCTTCAGATGTGACTGCCTGCAGACCTCACTGGACTCCAAGATGGCAAACAACCAACGGGAAGGCTAGGAGCATTTTCAAACGGACTCATCCAACAAGTGATGGATGGGGTTAACGGAGGAGGAGCAGGAGGAGGAGGAGAACCGCCCGCTTCTCTCTCTCTTTCTCTCTCTCTCTCTCTCTCTTACACACACACACACACACACACACACACACACACACACACACACACACACACACACACACACACACACACACACACACACACCAGCAAAAACAAAAAATAACGTGGTTTTGGGACATTCAAGCCTCCTGTAATGAGATCTGCAGAAATACAAGAGCAGGAAAGGAAATGTTACCATCACAAGGAGACTTTAGCCAGGGTTTACATCGACTGTGATAGAAAATGGGAGAACCAGGAAGTCATGAAAATCGATAAATCATAAAAGCTTTTAAATGTTACCTATAAAAGCACACAACTGTCTATGTAAAACACAACAGAAATGATCAGAACACGATTATTTTAATGATGTGACTCCTCAGATGTTTCCTTTGAAAAAGTGGGCTGGGTCATGATTTGTGTGTCTGACACAAGTAAGATAAAGCCACTATGAAAACCCCAAACACGGATCTCTGAGCTCCACAGCCATCGATTTGCCTTCAATCACAGCTCCCCTTAATCTACTTACTGTTGCAACCAGGTCAATGCAAGCATCAATAGAAAAGGGAGGCCTGGCTGACTGAACAGGGCTTTCTTCTGCTGGGCTGCAAATGAAGACACACAGAAGTTAGGATCTCAGGTTCTGTAGCTTCAGATGAGGCTGAGAGATGCTCCAGACAAGAATTTTACCAGTGAAGAGAAAATTTCCAGCTTTACTCAGATTGTTTTTGTCTTTCAAGTGAGCTGTTTGTTTGATGTCGTCCCAAGCTGTTAGTGATTCTGATGGGTTCAATAACTGTATTTGTTCCTGTAAGGACTGGAGCAGAGATCTTATCAAAGCCCACAGCAGAGACCCAGCTGGAGCAGTAGAGGTGAACATCCAGCAGCAGCCGCTCTGGGGGAGGTACAGACACCAGATCTGAGCCTCCGATTGCCGGGTCCGTCAGCAGTGACCTTCCCTCTCTTTATCCTAGGCGGCTCTCACTTTTACAATATTACATTACAATATTAGATTTTAGCCAGACTGGAAGTGCTTTCTGCTGAAGCGGGTGGATCGAGCACACCAGCTTCAGGTATCAGTGACTGAACAACACCGGTCTAAAGGCCCGGAGTTGTTAGTCAAAGGAATGGATCAGATCAGTGTGTCAATTACTGAAGACATCAGACAGCTTGGTGCAAGAGGAAGTAGGGTTTATCTGTGGTTTGCAGCATAAATATGTATAAGACACAAACACATCTGATGCTGCTACTATACTGTTGATTTTACATTTATATTATATTATATTATTGCCTAAGCAGAGGCCCAGCCTTCCCTCTCCCCAGCCACTTGGGCCAGCTCCTCCCGGGGAATCCTAATGCGTTCCCTAGCCAGCCGAGAGATATGGGCCCAATCCCAATTCTGGAACTTCCACCCTTGTGCCCTTTAATTGCGCTATCCCGAGCCGGAGTGCGAGTGCTTAGGGTGTCCCAACTCTCAAGTGCGCGAGGTGATCACGCTCCTTTTGCACCCTTGATTTGCACTTCACCCAAGTCTGCATTGATTTGGACTTAGGCGAAGGGTATTACCCACAATCCATTGCTGTGGGGGCAAAGGCTCAAGTGCCTTTTCTGAAAATATGTATTTTCTAATGAAAGTAGTTCATTTTAGGATGATTAGTTGAAGCTCTGAAACTTTTAGACAAAGCAGCAATGAATGACGACCCCCCTTTCCAAGATCACCAGGAAAAGACAAAAATAAATAAATCACTTTTGAAATAAACAATTTTTATTGTAAATTTGAGAACAAATACTGAGCAAAAATAATATTTTTATGAAAACTATCAGAACTTTGCTGACGTGAAATCAAAAGTCAAATGAGGTTTTTATTCACAGATGTCCTCTCTGCCTCGCTGAAATCACTCTCGTGCTGCTGCGGTCCCGGTGTACCATCAGATCGCTACACCTGCCGGCTCCTCCCAGAACGTCATCCTCACTGCCATCCAATGACTTCACACATGCAATGTTTGACACCTCTGCTGAATTGACCACCGTCATCTTAAAATTCGTAAACCTCTCGTCTCCACCTTTTTATCCAGTTGAGAACGCACAGCCTGTTGCCCTCTGCTGTTACGGGCGTGTAATGACCCCAGAAAAATATCAGCATGTGTAAATGCTTAGACCCCCTTAATAAGACGACCCCACATTTAAAAATTATTTTCAATCAAAAAAATCATGTCCTATATTCGGGTCAGTACGGTAAATTTATTTCAAATAATTGTTTGGTTGTTTGTTTGAAAGTTGTTAATAAAGGTTTTTAAAAAAAAGCAGCATCCCGGCATGTGTTGCGTCAATGAAGCAATGCTCCCTGTCTCAATTCGGCAATTATTTGCACACTTATATACCAAGCACTGGAAGCCTTACTGTGCACTTTCTCCAAATGCGCTTTGCTGAAGACCGCAGGGTGAGTATTGGGATTGGATCATAGTCTCTCCAGCGTCTCCTGGGTCTACCTTTAGGTCTCCTCCTGGTTGGATGTGCCCAGAAAACCTCACCGGGGAGGCGTCCAGAAGGCATCCTGACCAGATGTCCCAGTCACCTCAACTGGCTCCTCTTGACGTGGAGGAGCAGTGGATCTACTCTGAGCCCCTCCCAGATGATCAAGCTTCACACCTTATCTCTAAGGGAGAGCCCAGTCACCCTGCGGAGAAAACTCATTTAGAACGCTTGTATCCACAATCTCGTTCTTTCAGTCTCTACCCAAAACCCGTGACCATAGGAAAGTAGGTTGACGAGTAAATTGAGAGCTTCGCCTTTCAGCTCAGCTCTCTCTTCAGCATAACAGACTGGTACAATGCCCATATTACGTGAAGTCCACTCCACATCTGCAGACACAGCACCAATATGTATGTCGATCTTGGGCTCCAGCTTTCCCTCACTCGTGAACAAGACCCCGAGATACTTAACATCCTCTACTTGGGGCAGGACCTCATCCCTGATCTGGAGAAGGCATTGTACCCTTTAGAAAGAAAAAAGAAAAGAAAGAAAACAATCTTTTCTATAGCGCCTCTCAAGATAAAATTCTCGAGGCGCTTCACAAAAACATTGAAAATATAAAAAAGATTTCTAAAAAAATTCTTAAAAATATGTTTAAAATGAGAAAATAATAAAAAAAAATTGTGAATAAAAATTGTAAGAAAAGGGAGAGAAAATGAATAGGAAAGAGAAATCAGTGGACCCGGGAAAGGCGGAACAAGAGCAGAACAAGGAAAGGGTGGTGACAATGGTCACTTTATTAAGACACTAATTATTAAATTATGTTGTTAACTGAGAAACCATGTAATTCTCGTTGTTAAAATACGATTGGTCATTCTGAGCTGCATTAGTTGCAGACAGGAAATAGATGAGAAAGCAAGTGATAGAAAAAGCCATTTCTTCTATGTCACAGATAAAATTAGCGTTCATGTCCACGCCTACCTTGGCTTGCAACTGCAGAAGGCTGTTGTTGATTAATGTAGTTGCTGTTTAACCTTGCTTGTCAACCAGCTGTCGCTTTTTACCTGGAGACAATCCAAAGACTAGTCTGTCGTACTGCTGACGCTGTTTCACCGGCTCCTGTACCGAAAGGGGGGTCCGAGGACCTGGCATTCTGGATCTGCACGGAGGTCTCATCAAGGGTATGTGTAGAGCGACAAAAATGGCGTCTCATGTGTTTATGAAACTCCGATCAAACTCTGATCATAGCTAAGCAAAACATCACAACATCATTCAGACTTGCTTCTCCGGATACGAGAGTTCTGATTACAACATCACTCACACACACAACATTCATCTCACGTCTCATTACACCAGACCCATTAGAGTTGGTCTTGTATAAATTGTTAGAAATAAATCTTCTTAAACGTTTTAAAGGACTTTCTCTTCTCTTGTCTCTGAGTTAATACAAAGTGTTACATAATCCCTGCAATAAAAAGTTCCAATCTTCTGGTTAAATAACCCAACGGTCCGTAAGATTGATTTCATATTTACTATGGAATCTTACGTCTTACGGGTCCTTAATTAGATGTAAATTAACTCTTTTACATAATGTTGCAAATGTTCTTGTGAGAACGCCGTGATCGGTTAGAAAGGCTTGTTCTAGATTATTATCTCAAGATAGAAAAAAACATCATGTGTGCTGGGATGACCAGACAAACCTGTTTTTAATGAGAAGGGAGCTGTGGTGGACGAAATAAAAAAGAATCTGATACTATGACAGTTTTGCCTCATTTCTCCTGAAAAGTGAATCAATCACATGAAGTTGTCTAATATGCCTGCTTTACTTTAGGATGCTATAAAAAAAGTAGAACTGTGAAATCAAATGTTTTGTTTATTTTTAAATGATACACTGAAATGGTATGAACAAATCTCTAAAGATCAAAGGAAACCATCCAAAACCATTGCAGCTGACCTCCAAGGTCAAGGTACCATGATGGGCGCCAAGAAGACCCAGGAGTACTTCACTATTGACAAAAAATAAATAAAAAATGCCCCCCGATGTTTCCAGTCTGACAAAACGAAACTGAGTCCAGTCTGGGGAAATCACTTCAGCTATTTGTTCATTATAAAATGCCTTCTTATTCAGCCAGTCAACATTTTTAAAGCTGAAACTTACTAAAGACAAATATGACTGATTCTGTTTGATTTTTCTTTTCTCTTGCAGGTATAAAATATCCATGACACGTCACAAAAACCAAGACATGAATTAATACAATAATCAACACAGAGAGGAAGGAAGCAGAACGAGGGGATGGATGGAAGAGGAGAGGCATGTGGGTGATGATAGTTCATGACTAAGCATTACATTGCAGACTGTAAGTGAAGTCGTTCATCAGGTGACCTGCAGTCCTGTCTACTCTTCATTCAGAGCCGCTTTCCCTTACTACAACACTTCATCACCTTAATGAAGACAAAACGCACTGGCTAAACACTGCTTACGAAGGGCCTGCTATCATTATGAATCTATATTAAATATATGCAACCTTAACTCATAAAGCACACAAACGATCAGCAGCTCAGCCGAGTCAGCCGCTAGCATGATGTGGGTCAATTTTCCCACAGAAAATAACACCTCAGTCAGTTTGCTTCATCGTCTAACCTTTATGGGCAACTTGGGGTGACAAATGTACCAAAAGGTCTGTGCCGTCTCCAACCTGCTTTTCTGTGTAAATTAGCTAATAAGTAATGGCCATGGAGAAACTATTTTTTGTGAGAAAAGCTGGTATAACATGGCAAAGGCAACTCCTTAAATTAGCATGTCCCAACCCACTTAATGTCAGCATTTTATAAATAATGCTAATGCGGTAATGCTAATTTTAGAGTCATTTTGATGCCAAGAAAGTGCTTATTTTTTAACAAGGGCATATTTTATTTTAGGTGTTGTCTGAAAATACATCCAGGACTACAAATGCTACAAACTTCAAATCCTTCCTTCAGGAGTAAAGAACCACAATAAATCTGGCCAGACCACAGCCCAGGCCTATTTCAGCTGTAAACTAGAATTTTTCTGTTTTTCTCCCCAGAAGAAGCTACAATGGTATTCTGCTGAGCTGTGGTGGCCTCATGGAGGGGGCCATCAGCTAGAACACTGCTGCTAAACACTTAAACATTCTCCCTCTCCTCAAAACATTTCTCTCTCTTTGACATGGAATGTGCTACTACTAGTTCACCTGTTGAATTAATTCTAGATTCACTAAGATAAAGACAAAAAAAGTTTATCTTACTATATAGAATATTTACTAAGAAGTCACAATGTAACCATAGAAACACTACTTGGTATACATATGTTGTGTGTGTGTGTGTGTCTGCTCTGTCTTCTCGATCCCCAGTGAGTCGTGGTGGATGGCTGCTTATACTGATCCAGGATCCTCTGGAGGTTTATTCCTGTTCAAAGGGAGTTTTCCTCTCCATTGTCGCTGCATGCTTGCTTAGTATGAGGATTGCTGTAAAGTCACTAGTCAGTCACTCGATGTAATTTGCTGGGTTCCTTATATAGGGAACTATTTACTGACTGTCTTTATGACCTGAACTGTTTTGGAATGTTAATTATGTGAAGTGTCTTGACAAGACTCTTGTCGTGATTTGGCGCTATATAAATAAACTTGAATTGAATAGAAATACCATAAAGCTCACAAAAACCACTGTGCTGTGCAGTGTGGACCATTCAGTCCGCAGGAAGGAACAGTCATGTCTACTAAACTGGGCGTTCAGTGTTTCAGTGGCTGGTCTTTGAGTTCATCCACTTTAATGCATATTGTGTAGTAGTCCACAGGTAATAAATATTGTTTTGGCTCAAAAATGTCAGAGCCCACTTGTTCAAAGAAGAAGAAAAAATGTTTTATATGGCACCTCAAGATAAAAATCATGAGGAATTAAAAATGAAAAAATAAAAATAAAAAAAAAGATAAAAAAGAATCATAAAAGTGTAAAAAACTAAAAATTGTGATTAGAGGGAAAAGAAGATTTCTAAAAAAAAAGAGGTAATCAGAGGATCCTGGGAAAGGCAGATATTGTAGAAAGAGCTGAATGAGAAGAGGGTAGTGATGAAGAATCAACTGGTCACACCAAAGCAAGCCTGAACAGGTGAGTCTTCAGCTGCTTTTTAAAGGAGACCACTGAGTCCACTGATCTCAGGCTCAGGAGGAGAGAGTTCCAGAGTCAGGGGGCCACAGCAGCAAATGATCTGTCACCTTTGGTCTTTAAAGGAGGTCTAGAGCATTCCATTCTTTCTACTGAAGACTACGGAAGAGTCCGAACTCTGTTTCTCAATGACGCTGCTTTATACAGCCCGACTGCTTCCCAAGGTGCTGAAAACTGTCTTAGATGAACAGCGCACAGAAACAAAGTAATAATTAGGACAATATAACACAAGGTAAAAACCTACTGAAGCACTGACAATAAAAACAGCAAAAAATGACAATATAAAACGGTGTGTCATGGGCAGAGCAGGAAGTGGTTGGCCGTTGTAGGCATCGGATCGGCTCTGGGTCCTGTGCTTATTGATGTCACACTACATTAAATCCACTCGGCTTTCACACCTGAGTTTTGGAAAGAGTTTTGTTAAATTCTTGCTTCTTACAGCCTAAATGTTTTCTTTATAACCATAATTTGTTAATAAAACACCATATTGTCTTTGCTTTGTAAGGAATGGGAAACTACATAAAACCAACATCACTGCCAAAAGCACAACAGTTCATATGTGAACATTTTAAAATGTATTTACATAATTAGCAGCTGTTTTCGTTAGTATAAATGTTGAATTCTTATGTATATCTTATTAGTTCTTATGTAAATAAATCTAATTCATTCATTCAAAATGTTGCTTTTTATTCAGTAGTTATTTTACTTTTATTTAGCTCCATTGCATCAAAATCAAGAGCTGCCAAAGGTACCCGTGTGCCAGTTGATATTTATGCTTTTATTTTACGTTTCCTTTAGCAATACAAACATATTTTCCCTAAAAATTGTTTGCTTTTGGACTAAAACGACAAATTTGTTCGGACCAATCAAAATCTTCAGTGTCAATGCGCTAATGTAACTTACAAATCGTGGCATTGAAACTTCCAAAAATCCTACCAATCTAGCAGTAGCTCAGGCCCAGTTAAGCATCCCTCAAAGCACTTAGATGGGGCACGCATGGGTGTCCTGTAATTCGACCATCTGGGCTCCACTGAAAACCCAGTTGGGGCCCACTATAATCTATGTGGGCAAACCCCTGTAGGTCCACCATGGACAAACCCACGTTACCCATATTCTAGCCCACTTGAGACCTCATTAAGACCTAGTTGAGCATCCCTTGAAGGACACAGGTGGGGCATGCATGGATCTCATGGGTCAACCATCTGGGTCCCACTGAAAGCCCTTCCAGGGCCCGTCATGATCTATGTGGGCAAACCCTTATTGGTCCACCATAAAAACCGTGGACAAGCCCACTTGGGGCCCAAGTAATTTGCACATTTATATATCACGTAGGGCCCACCAATGTATGCTGGCTGGGGGCTAGCATTGTTCTGCCGTTAGCATTCGTGTAAAAAACATTCAGATATTGCCAATGTTGGGGTGGGTTGGGCCATGTGTGTTTCTCAGTTTATGACGTGTTAAACCAGCTTTTTTCAGAACAAATATTTTCTCAGCGATCAAAATAATTATAAATATTACTAATTTACATAGGAAAGCAGGTCACAGACGGCACAAAGTGACACATTTTTAGTGAATCCAGTCATAAAGCTGGAACATTATTCTGCCTCTGTACTCCTCTAGGACACGGTCTTTGTGGTTGGACATGCCGAGTCCTGGTGCTGGAGCTGTTAAAGACTGGTCTGTTCCTCATGCTGTTCCTATAAGCCCAGAGTTAAATCTGCTCATGTCAGATGTTATATAGCAGACGGGTCTTTGTTGTACAAATCCAGTCTTCTGCAGCAGAGGGACCGACTGCAGAAGAGAGGGGTTTACCAGCAGTACAGAGGCTTCTCCCTCCAGAAACATGTACACATTATTTGCCCCCTCCCCCAACATTTTACATTTGTAAAAGGATGAAATGGTTCAAATCCTGTATATTTTGTTCAAATAAAACTGACAAATGAGGCAAATTGTAGGATGAAAAGGGGAAGTAAAATGAGAAGAAAAGCCTGAGATGGTGCGTTTAGTGTGTGTTGTCACTGAGCAGGGCAGTTTGATGTATGGCACCGCTGGACCAAGGAAACTACAGCAAATGCATATGCCAGGCAGATCTGCATATCAATTATTTGTGGCTGCCATAGATATTGCTTAATGGAACTGTCTGAGGCTGCCATAGTATATTAACTGAGCCGGGAGCTCAGCTGCAGCTGGATTCTGCTGGCAAACAAGGCTCAACACATCTGCATTAGGGATGGACAATATATCGGCATCAAAATCGGTCTCAGCCGATGTTAGTGATTTTTTAATATTTCGGTATCAGTTCAATAAATAAAACCGGGTCGATATTAACTGATATTTTTTTCATCTTGTCTTCATTTGTTTGCTTGTTTCAGAGGGTAAGGGGGTGATTTGTAATTGTTTAGTCATGCTAACAGTGAATTAAATCACCTCAGAACTGTAAATGTGTTGTGTGTACATAACGTAAATTCAGCTTTATTCATTTTCATTCTATTCAAAATCAGCTGATTTTAGAAGCATTAATGTCAGTATATCGGTATCGGCCATAACAGTGATCTCAATATCTGATATCAGTATCGGCCCAAACATTTCATATCGGTGCATCACTAATCTGCATCCAGGACAATGGCAGGAAGTGTAGCAGTGGATGGGAGGAACACAAACCAACTCTTAGTAATGTATTGGTGTTTGAATTATTTCTGTAGACTGATCAGTTTTATACATGGTACAATTCTTATAGTATGAGAACCACAGTGGTGGTAATAAAATAATTGTTCTAAACCAGTAAACAAAACCAACACATAATTTAAACGTTCTTGGAACTATTTTGTCATTGAAAACATCTAAATCCTGACCACCATGTGATTTCTGCAGCTGATTATCAAACAAAACAAAAGGCTGGTTCTGAAAGTCGGGTTTGGACTGTAAACTGAAGCCATCAGATCATCATGGTTCATTCAGCATACAGATGCTCGACTGCTGTCTGCTAATTCAGCTGCAACCACATTACTCCCCCCTTAACAAGGTTTACAGAGCGTCTGTCTTACCGAGCTTCACCCTCCTCCACCCTCAAACAAATTAATGGAGCATGAAGCAACTTATTGCATCCATTATGTTTCTGCCTTTGGTTTTCTGTGTGCACAAATGTTAATGCTCATTTTCTGATAATCTGAAATGCATCATTTAGATGTCACTCCCAACCTACAGATAGTTAAATCAGTCTGTGCAGGCATGGAGATCCGTTCACAACTCACTACAAAAGCAAGGGTTATGGACCCAAGTAATGTGTGTGTGTGTGTGTGTGAATGTAGGTTAATGCCCTTGATTGTGTCAGAGAGAACAAATTCTCATTAGAATACTTACAGAAAGCTAATGGCTGAGGCTGTAGATGTCAGGAAGCTCTTTCAGCAGATTTTATTTATTTATTACAATATTTTTTACACAACAGTATGAGACAAAAACTTTTTAAAAGTAAAACATGTCATTAATGTTGCACACTTACTTACGAAGAAAAAACTTAATAAAAGTATAATAAAACAAGATCTTCCATTAAATTCTAAATCATTTTTCAGCCGTTCTAACCAGCAACAACACTTCTCTAAAGGAATTCTCATAATGATTCAAACATGTTTTTTTTTCTTTCTTAGAACATAACTTATATTCATAAAAGTAAAACCATTCTTTTTGTCTCAACAGGTAGAAAAGTGCCCAAAATTAAAACAGGAACATGAACTTATTAAGGTCTGTACACGACTCACACCCTTCATCTCTAATTTGCTTTATTTGTTTTCAAAGGTTTTCAGTGTAGGACTGAACCTGGTTCCAAACAGAGGAAACAGGTGGCCGGGGTACCGTAGGTGGAACGGGGACATGGCAGCGCCTGGAGAGACAATACACTCAGCCTCAGTTAGAAACATTACTAAACCATCCTTTAAACAGTCAGTATCAGAATATAGAAAACATTTATCACATCTACAAACAAGCCCAGCAAACCGTGTTGTCTTACAAGAATTAAAGGAACACGTTTTTATTGGGCCTGGCATGAAATCAGTTAAACCTGTCTGATAATTTCCTGGTGGATTAAGCAGCTGAGGGCATTGTTAATCACTTTCAGCTGTATTGGTGTTCATGGGCTTAACGACAGGTGCACTAAAGTGGCAACAATTACAAAACCCTCAAAACAGGACTGGTTTAACATGTAGAGGTCATTTCAAGTTTCTCACTCTTGATCTTTTTCAGCTGGTTTTCCACTCGTGCTAGTTTTGGCTCTCTACTGGCAGTATGAGGCGATTCCTTAACCCTACAGAAGTTGCACCGGTTGTCCAACTTCTCCAGGATGGCACATCCACACGAGCTGCAGCTAGAAGGTTTAATGTGTCTCCCAGCACAATCTCCAGAACATGGAGGAGATTTCAGCAGACTGGCGGTTATTCTCGGAGAGCTGGACAGGGCCGTAGAAGGTCCACAACCCATCAGCAGGACCGATACCTGCTCCTTTATGCAAGGTGGAACAGGCTGAGCACTGCTCGTGCCCTACAGAATGACCTCCAGAGGGCCACTGGTGTGAATGTCTCTACCCAAACAATCAGGAACAGACTTCATGAAGATGGCCTGAGGGCCCGACGTCCTGTAGTGGGCCCTGCGCTCACTGCCCAGCACCGTAGAGCTGGACTGGCATGTGCTCAAGAACACCAGAATTGGCAAGTCCGCCACTGGCGCCCTGTACTTTTTTTTACAGACGAGAGCCGTTTCACCCTGAGCACCTGTGATAGACGTGAAAGAGTCTGGAGAAGACAAGGAGAACGTTATGCTGCCTTCAACGTCGTTCAACATGACAGGTTTGGTGGTGGGTCAGTGATGGTCTGGGGAGGCATATCCATGGAGGGACACACAGACCTCTACTGCCTAGGAAATGATGCTCTGACTGCCATAAGGTATCGAGATGAAATCCTTGAACCCTTTGTCAGACCCTACGCTGATGCAGTAGGTCCTGGTTTTCTCCTAATGCACAACAATGCCCGGCCTCGTGTGGCAAGAGTAGGGTTGTCACGGTATGAAAATTTAACCTCACGGTTATTGTGACCAAAATTATCACGGTTTTCAGTATTATCGCGGTATTTTTTAAACGGTGTTGCATATGTTCAGAAAGCATTGATATTCCTGTTCTACACAAACTGAAATAGTTTAGAAAAGGTTTAACATTGTTTATTAAACCTAAAATAACACAAAGCCTTAGCAAAAGTGCAACTTTTCACAAGTAAAGGAACAAATAGCTTCTTTTTCTGGAACATGTTACAGTAGTCAGTGCAGGTTTAAATTAAACAAATCCAAACATTCAAAACATAAACAATATGTAAACAAATCAAAGAAACACCACTTGTTTTCTCATATACTTGTTTTCTTCATTATCAAAATGAAAATCTAAAACTCCAGTCCACGCTTGACTTGAGCACTGTACAAGTCAACCTTAAAAAATATGTATTTAAAATAAATAGCCACTTTAAACAAATTACTAAAATAACTACTACACGATGTAATCAAATCCAAATGTTCAAGTATAAATGGCATTGAATAAGCAAACAAATCAATGACAAGGAACTAATTGTATATTTCTCTTCATCATCAACAAATAAGATGCTTCATGCAGCAACAGGGTGTCCGTGACACGGTTTAAATGCTGGCAGAGGACGCTGCGGCTGCAGTATATAGTGACTCGTTGCATTCTCCCTCAGCCAAAAGTCCTCGCGTCATGCATTTAAGCTAAAATGCTAATGTTAACCTACCTTGCACTGGCTGTAGAGACGTGGGTGATGGTCACGCAGATGTGCCATTAGATTCGAAGTGTTGCTGCCTTTTGCAGACACTTGTTTCCTGCACGTTCTGCAAACGGGATAGCCGTCTTCTATTAACTGTCCCTCAGCATTTTTCAGAAATCCAAAATATGCCCATACTTCCGATTTAGTCTTCTTTGAGGGCTGATGGATGTCCTGGGCGCTGCCGTATCCTCCTTCGGCCATTATTTCAGCTTCAAAGTTTTGGTGCCGTTGCAAACTAAAAAGTGCGTGTGCGCGCCGCGGGAACTACAGCTGAAGCGACGGTGGCTGGTAAGGGTCACCGCGCTGAAACCGCGGCCACGGTAAACCCGAGATAATTTCGTTTTTTAAAAACTGGACGGTTATTTTTATTGTCAACTTTTTTACCGGGGTTTACCGCTATACCGGTTACCGTGACAACCCTAGGCAAGAGTATGCAGGCAGTACCTGGAGGATGAAGGAATTGAAACAATTGAATGGCCTTTACGATCCCCTGACTTAAACCCAATGGAACATCTGTGGGACATTATGTTTCAGTCCATTAGGCGGCGCCAGGTTGCTCCTCAGACTGTACAAGAGCTCAGGGATGCCCTCACACAGATCTGGGAGGAATGCACAAGACACCATCCGTTGTCTCATTAGGAGCACGCCCCGACGTTGTCAAGCATGCACACAAGCTTGTGGGGGCCACACAAGATACTGAAAGCAATTTGAGTTGCAGAAATTAAGTTTTTGAAACAATGGACTAGCCTGCCACATCTTCATTTCACTCCGATTTTAGGGTGTCGACACATTTGAGCCCTCTGTAGGCTGATAACTTTTATTTCCATTAAAAGACTTGGCATCCTTTTGTTCCTGAGACATTGCCCTGTCGTTATTTGTATAGATATCCAACTTCATATTGAGATCTGATGTATCTAACGTGTTTCTTTAAAGTGCTCCTTTAATGTTTGTGAGCAGTGTAGTTTCTGTCACAAACTAATTATCTCTATCTCACACTTTGATCTGATTTGGTGTAGCTGTGTGCGTCACTGTAGCCCCCCCCCACACACACACACTAACACGCTGTACGAGGAAGCCTGATGGAGGAGCAGCAGTGTATCGACATCAGCGCAAAAGCAATGAAAGCAGTTTGTTGGGTAAAATAGCTCTGGTAGCAGGTCTAATTGGATCTGTGTCAAGTTCTCACTGCAGCTACATCCACCGTGGCAAACAGCAGGGTGGAAATCAATACGCCCTTTCTGCATCCATGGACATGCTCTGACTTCACTCAAGGCCTTTTGTGGCATGTAGAGCGATGGAGGAGGAGCAAATTAACACACACGAACAGGTTAATGAAGGTCACTGATAGAAAGTGACTCAGCGTAAAATATAATGTGCTGTGTGGAAACTAAAAGAGCCCTCGCTACTATTATGGTAATAATGAGAAACTCAGAAGTTTGTAAATTATTTATGTGTTTAACTTTTATGCAGACTTTATTGCAGATGATGTGGTGCTGTTGGCTACATCAGACAGTGATCTCCAGCTTTCGCTGGAGCGGTTCGCAGCCGAGTGTGAAGCAGCTGGGATGAGAATCAGCTCCTCTAAATCCAAGACCATGGTAAATGGTCTGTATTTGATATAGCGCCTTCTAGAGTCCTGGAGCCCCCCAAGGCGCTTTACAACACAATCAGTCATTCACCCATTCACACACACATTCACACACTGGTGGGGATGAGCTACGATGTAGCCACAGCTGCCCTGGGGCGCACTGACAGAAGCGTGGCTGCTGAGCACAGGCGCCAACAGTCCCTCCGACCACCAACAATAGGCAAGGGGGTTAAGTGCCTTGCTCAAGGACACAACAGCGACAGACTGAGCGGGAATCAAACTTGCAACCTTCAGATTACGGGGCGAGCACTTAACTCCTGTGCCACCATGTTCTTGTGTCAGATAAGGGTAGAAAGCCTTTTCCAGGTCAAGGATGAGGTCTTGACCCAAGTGCAGGAGTTTAGGTATCTCTGTGTTTGTTCACGAGTGGAGATCGATAGGCGGGTTGGCGCTGCGTCTGCAGTGATGTGGGCGTTGAACCGGTCTGATGTGGCGAAGAGAGCTGAGCTGGAAGGCAAAGCTCTCGATTTACCGGCTGATCTACGTTCCTGCCCTCACCTATGGTCATGAACTTTGAGTAGTGACTGAAAGAACAAGATCGCGGATACAAGCGGCTGAAATTAGTTTTCTCCGCAGGGTGTCAGGGCTCTCCCTTAGAGATAGGGTGAGAAGCTCGGTCATCTGGGAGGACTAGAACCGCTGCTCCTTCACATCAAGAAGAGCAAGTTGAGGTGGCTCGGGCATCTGGTCGGGATGCCTCCTGGACACCTCCCTGGTGAGGTTTTCCAGCCACGTCCAACTGAGAGGACACCTAAAGCAAGACCCAGGACACGCTGGAGGGACTATGTCTCACAGATGGCCAGGGGACACCTTGGGATTCCCCCGGAGGAGCTGGCCCAAGTGGCTGGGGAGGGAGAAGTCTGGGCCTCTCTGCTGCCCCTGAGACCCAATCCTGGATAAACAGAGGACAATGGATGCATTTCTTTCTTTTTGTATTCATGTCATTCCCTTAGTTTATCCAAGGGCACCAGTTAGTTTTTGAAACTGGTGTTATTCAAGTATTTGTTTGATGTTTAATTACAATACACACTGCAGTGTATTGGCAGGTGTTTAAAATCTGGGCTTTGTTCGATTAATAAAACTCAAAAGTCAGGATCAAATCCACAAACCACAGATTACTAGACAAGCCCCTAATCTCTGGGCCACGGCAACACTTACACATTCCCTCACCAGAGCCGAGCTGTCCGTGATGCGCCGGTTTAATGAAAAATGTTTTAAATAGTCACAGCCTTAAAGGACGACGGTCCGTGAGAAAAAAAACTGGAACCGATATCTGACTAAACTGTGCTGAAAGTGCAGCAAAACCGTAAAACTTAAAACAAATGACCAGTTTTATCATGTTTGATACTAACCTTAAGTTTAGGTTAGCTAAAGCACTAGCCGGTGTTTACCATTCAACACACTGATCACAGGCTGGATGGAACAGATTTCCCAGCATGCCACACACTTCTCCTGAAGGCTGAAAACTAAACTTAATTCATTATTTACGGTTAATTTTTATTAAAGTGAAATTATCATCGATGGAATTAAATATAGTTAACTAGTTTTTAAGTTAACAGTGCCAAACGGCACCATGACTGAAACCGACTGTAGAGTTGAATAAAAATAAATCATTTCTGTGTTTAAAGATCGGCACTTATTAAGGGAGCACGGATGGGTGGCTTACTTAATAAGAAACTTCTTGTTCAAACGACTTCCCTTCATGATTGAATATGCTGCCTCACTGCCACCTAGGATCGACTGATTAGTGTTTGTTGTTAGCCTCAAGGGCAACCTGCTGGCTTCATTATCACTTGTAAGTCACTGTGGACAAAATCATCTGCTAAATGCATAAACATCAAAAGTGCTGGGGACGAAACCCCCACTCAAATAGTGGTGTCCAGAGATGTGCTTGGAGACAAGTGATTCACTGAGACGACCCTGAAGGGAAAATCTGAAAGGGGAAGAAGCTTGTCTTTAAGGTGGCGTGGAAGAGTGTTCGTGCTGAAAGCAGCTCTGTCTTCTCCGCCTCGAGAACTATCCAATAAGCACACGACATGTGGCTGTTGCACTGCCTTTGCAGTCCAGTTTAAAACACGTCCAAACTGAAGACATTTTCACTCTTCTGAGAAGACATGTTAGCTCTGTGCTAGTCTGCTAGCTAACAGCTACATGTTATGGTGTCTGAATTCCCCGCCTGCTTTAAACTGGGTGACGTTAGTGTCGTTGACGATGCAGCGACGACTGCAGCGGACCTTTTTAAAATGAAAACTAAACCATCATCGTTACATTTGTAAACATGTAATGCTTTTTGTTTTATAAGGTTAAATCCAACCCTTTCCACCTGATTCCGATCATTTGAAAATCAGGTGATCAGGCCCGATCTCCAATCATGGGATTGGATAATTCCTTAGTAAAAAGTTTAATGCTACTCAAACGGTGATCTTAATAACATCATGTGATCAAACTAGACTAGGAGTCATAGGTCACTACTCCTCTATGGCCTCTCCTCTGCCTTGTACCTGGAGATTGGTCCTGCATTTGTCTCATCACATTCATGATCACAGGTGATGTAAATATGGAGTGGGTGGAGTCTTCAGTCTTCACCTCCACCTGAGGACAGGAGGAGGTGTCAGGGGTGCACGGAGTCAGAGGAGGAGTTGGGATCTCCGTCTGAAGAGACAGAAAACAGTTTCCTTAAGTTGAACTTTAACCCGGGGTTTGAAGTTTATGGCGTCAGAAGCACACCTGAGGTTCATTTTCACAGTTCACAGGACTTTTCCCAGTCTGGATCAGATCTGGAACTGCAGGAGCAGCAGAGATGAGACAGGAAGGGCTGGTGGGAGGAGTTTCCTCAGGTGTGGTGTGTTTCTGTTGGTCACAGCTCAGGGTTTGATTCTCTAACAGATCGTTGAAGCTGCTGGGTCCCATAACCTCAGACGTACATCACAGAGAGTTCAAATAGCTTTAAATTCTTATAAACAACAAATGTGAATGAAACTGGACACACTTGAATAAAAGAAGTGGTGTTTCTACCTGAATATGAGCGCCTACAATCTCCTCGATAGGCTCCAGGTCAGGCATCGCGTCTTCCTCAGTCTGAGACACAGAGCGACGGGTTTACGTCCACATTTACCTCAAATCGAACAGAGCTCTCTTTTCTTTCCAAATGCTTTACAGCCTTTTCTAATGGTTTAAATAGGGCAACAATCTGCAGACTTTGTTAAATAAAGCATAAAAAAATCTGTTTTAATTTATAATAAACCATAAAGTTATGAATAGAGCTGAACATGTTGTGCCACGTTATATCAGCATAAACAAATACACCCCACTACATTAGTCAGAAAACCTTTAGTTTGCTTTCAGAATCAACATTTTCTATCAGATACCAAACTACAAAATACTCCCGCAGATGTGGGCCACTGATTGTAAGGTTGAGCGATGGGACGAATGAATCGACCATCGGAGATGGGCTGAGCCGTTACGGTTGTTTCTTACAGGAGGTGATTTGTTTATTTATTTATTTGTTTGTTATTGACAAATATTTTACACATTACGCACAGAGAACATTGCGGAGAAAAGATCTCCATCAGCGCATCTGGCCCTTTCCTCACCTCCTCTGCCTCTGGCTGATGACAGTGCACGCGCAAGCGGCATGCTGAGGAGGGGTTTGGAGAGCATCTGTGACACACTCGACATCGTGCACTACAGCACGGCGTTGAGTGGAAAGTGGAAACTCTTCCATCTTTCAGAGTCTGGAAGACTTCTGGTTATGTCATTCGGAGAAATGTTTCCTGATTTATAACTTTGGCTGAAGTAGCGCTCGTCGTTATTCAGCACCTGCTTCAAGTGCGTCAGCAGAGCACGGATCCACCCAGAATAGTATTTGAGTCTGTCTGAGGCAAAAGTCTAGAAGCTCATAACCTCTTCAGCAAGCTCCATAGAGACGTTTGATTACACGCAAGCTGCAGGTGACCAGTTCAGGAGGCGCAGGAGGAATGTGCGTCCGAGCCGCAGCAGGTGAAATGTTCCTAATTTAAGTGAAATCGTTTAATTGCGTTGTTCATGTTACTGGGGCATTCTGATCAGCTTGGTTGGACTAAATATTAATTAAAATTAATCGAAATTTAACAAATGATTATTCATTATTTAAAAAATGAACGTGACGGGGATAAATGCAGGGTATCTGCAGGTTTAAGGGAGCCAAATTTAAGACTTTTTAAGACCTTTTTTAAGGCCACTTAGACCAAATTTAAGCTACTTTTAAAATAAAATTTAAGCTATAATTTCAAGCTATTGCCTGGAACCGGTGCTAACCATGTCGCAAAACGTGGGATTAGCCATCCAGTTACCATTAAACTTGCCCTTCCCCATGATGCAAGCTCCCACTAGCTTAACCAGCTAATGTGCTCATCTAAAACTAGCCCCCTTTCACAACCAACTGAATGTGTATGGTTCCGCTTACGCCAACATCATACAAAAAAAATGTTGAAGACTAACTAGAAATTCAGGAAAACAAAAGGATCTTGTTTATTGAGTCTTGGTAATTTAAGACCTTTGGAAACTGTATTTAAGGATTATTTGTCATTTTTAAGGATTTTTAATGCCTTAAATTTGGAAAAGCTAAATTAAGACGCTTTAAGACTTTTTAAGGACCCGCGGATACCCTGTAAATGGATCATGTGACCTCTGGCAGCGAGCTGCCTCCTCAGGGTGCGTCCAAACGCAGCAGCGATTCATTCCATCCCCCACTTATAAATGAAAGAACCCCAGAAGTTTTTGTTCAGAAAAAAAACATTTTGCTTAAATAAAATACCACAACAGTGGGCAGCAGAGGGAAGCAAAGGGGAGGCGTCTTTTCAACATTTCAGCCGTGTTTAACACGAGCCGTTTCTCTACCAAACTACAAATACAAAATTTTACAAAAAGAAAAAAATTTATTTCTCTTCCAGCAAACATATGTGCTGCGCTTGTCTAAGAAAAATCTATGTTTTGGGCTTCTTCTGTGTTTGCAAATCAGTCTGTGCGTCATGACGTCACATGATGCACGAATAAATCGTCCATCATGTTTTTTTGGACTGACGATTGGAGGCGGGAAAAATTATACAAATCGCCCAACAAGATTTGTTCTTTTGCCAACACACACAAAAAAAAACTGATTTTCCTATCAAATCCATTCATCCCATGTTACAAAAATGAGTACACCTCAATTATAGTCTTAGGAGAAAAGCCAAACTTAAAGGGATATTCCACCCCTAAGTGAATTTTAGTCTATTTCCGTATTCCCTAGAATTAGATAAGTGAGAAAAGAAGACTTTGTAAATAGCACAGTAACTCTCCTCATCTGGCAGCAGTCTGTCTGCTTTAGCTTAGCATAAATAATGGAAGTGATTAGCAGGAACTAGTGTTTTTGTGTGCAAAAGTGATTAAAATGACTCAATAATGATACCAATTATTCAACAACAAGCTGTGTTCCATCCATGTGCCATGCAGCGGCAGCTTACAGTGGTGCGTCGTGGTAATGTAGTCCCAAGTCTAAATATTTAGTCAGAACAAGCTGATCAGAGTTCCCCAGTAAACATAAACAACACAATTAAACGATTTCACTTAAATTAGGAACATTTCACCTGCTGCGGCCCCAACACACATTCCTTCTGCTCGTAAACCTGAACTGGTCACCTGCAGCTTGTACGTAATCAAATGTCTCTATGAAGATATGTCCGGGGGGGTTGAAGAGGTCATGAGGTTCTTGTATTGATGAAAATGTCTGGTTTTTCATCCAGGAGCAGGGATCGAATTATGGGGGAGCCGGATATCCTACACATCCAGGGGAGCTGGGAAAAAAAAAAAAAAAACATTTCTACTTATATTACATCATTCATGGACTCTCAGTGTACCGGGGGCTCTTTGAGCGGAGAGCACCGAGAGCGGCAGAGCGCTGATCGTTGGTGCGCTCCAGGCAGCTGCGTCCAGCGCACGGTCCATTCTCAAAGTGGCGCAACCAAAAAAACTATAATTAACACACGATCGTTCTTGTCTGCACATGTTCTCTACTTTCGGTCTTATTTGTGCCTGAAGCGCTCTGCTACTGCGGAGCTCATCACCTGTGCTGCGGTCATGTCACCTCACTGACGCAGCATCGAAACGCGCTCTCCGCTTTGTGGTCAGGAGATCCCTTTGATCTGCTCAAAAGTAACTGACGAGGTGAAAAAGTAAGAATCCAGGCAGCAGTTTTTCTGGAGAGTTTAGAGGAGATGCAGGAAGATGAGAGACAGACAGGACAGGAAAATAGTTCAATAAAAACAAGAAAACAAAACAAAGTGTTGAAAAGTTAAATGTCGGTAGATTTATCTCCAACTACACGTTTTTACCTGTATAAAGCAATAAGTTATAAACATGTAATATTTATACATCTGATACAATTCAGATCACATTCAAAACTCAGTCACACACCCAGGGCCGCTTCAAAGCATTTTGGGGGCCGAGGCAAAACAGAACTCCCCCGACCCGTCACTGGGCTCCCCAGAAGCCTCTGTGTAATCCATACCCTCTCCAGGAGTATTAGTTATACCGTGTTTATAAAAGCCCCTCAGACATTACTGACATGTTCTAATATTATCAGATGAAAAACTAAATTATCAGACATGCTGTCTCATCTGCTGCTTTTCTAAACTTGCAAAAAGTAACAAAACCATTTGAAATCCACTATTTGTGGATTCTCTGAAAGTTTCCATGGAGTGTGTGACAACTTATTTTTTCATTGATCCTATCGTCTAATCTCAGCTGAAGCAAGCATCCTTAATAATCCGTGCACTTGGTCGTCGTGCACTTTTTCAATACGACAATGATCCAGAACACACATCCAGGGTTTCCCCCAGAAAATTAGTTAAGCCTGGCAGATTCGTAGCCTGGCCTGCCAGACTCCTCCTCTGTGTAATTCTGCACAGAGGAAGGGACTGGGAACTCTCCTATTCAAATAATCCCACCCTGTGAGAATTCAAACCGAGCCAATCAGCGCCAAGTAGCGCAAGTCACACACCACAACGCTGAGTTAGTCATGAACATGGCGACTGAAGCGGAGTTCGCTGCGGCTCTTTCCTCTGGTCTAAATCACTTGGACACGTCTTTAAAACAACAACAAGCAGAAGCGCTAAAAGCCTTTCTTCCAAAGAAAGATGTTTGCGCTGTCGCCAGACGCCATTTTTGACAACAGCTAAAAAACTACAGCGTCACGGACGTCACACACAGCGACGCTCAGTTTCTCATAAACAACGAAGACAGCGGCGGAGTTCACTACGGCTCTTTACTCTGTTCTAAATGACTTGAATGTCTTTAAAACCACAACAAGTAGAAGCGCTAAAAGCATTTCTTCTAAAATAATAGATGTTTGCGCCATTGCCAGACGCCATTTTTGACAACAGCAAAAAAACTACAGCGTCGTGCGGTACAGTCGGCTTTTCCGTCTTTTTTCTAATTGGTTATTTTTGAGCTGCCTAGTCCCGCCCCTCACGTGCCTCTCTGCCTGTGAGTAACCAGACTCTCTGTGCAGAATTAAACAGAGGACGAGTCTGGCAGGCCTGGCTAGCGGATTCGGCCGTCAGAGGGAGGGGGAAGGTCGCGAGTTCCGTCCCGCAGCGCTCCTCCCTGAGAGGAGGGGTGGTTGCATACGTTCCGCTGCTCTTTCTCACCAGTATCAGCTGATGGAGGGCTCTAGTTTCGTTGCGCCATTCATGTCAGCAGACACGGTAGGGTCGGGGAGGGGGGCGGGGCATGACACCAGGCTTTGATTGGCCATCCGCCAGGCTTATAAAGCGCTGGGGGAAGAAGCAGCAAGATGAGCATCACTCTCCATCCAGCATCCAGGCTCTAAAAAGAGGTTATACTTGAAGAATGGAAAAAGATGGATGTTGTAACATGTCGCCAGCTTGTTCATTCCATGCCTAAAAGACTTGGTGCTGTCCTTGAAAATCATGGTGGTCATTCAAAATACTAGATGTAGTAGTTTTTGTTGGAGGTATTCATATTTGCTTCAACTAATTTTAGTAAAACGGAAGTGTTCTGGAAATAGTTCATTTGTCCATTTAGCTACTGATGAAATGGTACTTTTTAAAGGGGGTGTACTCATTTATGCTGAGCCCTGTACGTATGTTGTTCTTGGTCAGCTTGTTTTTCTTGCATCATCTCTTTGTTCATTCACTGTCTAGTCCAGTCCACGCTTGGGTTTATGGCATCATTTTGCTGCCAAGATTTAATCAATGAGAAAATAAATTGAACAATAAATAAAAACTCTGATTTTTTTTCCCCGTGACACAGTAGCAGAGTAAAACTTCCTCTCCTGGATGTTTGGCTGAACAAGTCTCTCATTAATGTAGAACAGAAACAGAAATGATGCCATTAAGCTATTAGGCACGCCACTGGTTTTATTTACAACCCGACATCCAGCTGTGACCTTCCAACAAAGCCACCATACATTAGACAGGACTGAACAACTCCCCCTTCAGTGCGATGATGTGTGTGTGCTCAGACTGTTTGTGTACCCATGATGCACTGGGCCAGCAGCGCTGACTGTATGGCTGCTAAGATAAGAGCTACGGACGATGGGGAATCAAAGCTTTGCAGCAGCACAAACACTGAACACAGAAGTGAGAGAGAGCCAGAGACGAGACAGAGAGAAAAACTGTCGACAAGTAGAGCTACAAAAAAACGTTATCTCGTTATGTCCGACTGCACAGCAGCCTGGGTTGTCGAGCAAGACTCCAAATGAATCAAAACTGTTCAGAAACTGGTGATATGTGTATGTGTGTGTGTGTGCGCGTGCTACCTGTGAAGCTTCCAGGGACTGATCAACATCTGATCTGAGAGACGAGATCAGCTCCTCGTCCACTTCTGGCAGGTCGACCAGTCCATCTTTCAGGTACAGACTCACTGGTGAGACCTGGATGCACAACTGAGAAAAATAAACAAGATAAACTCACAACTTCAACAGAATAATAATAATAATGACTTGCACATTAATTCACAGCAGCACTGTTAAACCTGGGAGTTCATAATACGGTAATTTAGTGAGGGATGCACCGAAAATTTGGCCATCGGAGATTTTCGGCCGACGACGACCCAAATGTGCATTTTCGGTTATCGTCCAGAACACCTAAATCACAGAAACAGACCGTCAGGTGAGCCACATTTTTGTTTCATGTCACTCAGCCTTATTTGGCAACTTGCTCTTCGCTTCATAAAAACAGTACATTCTGTTTTTAAAAGTAAAGTTTTCCCCTTTAGTTTCTATTTCACTTGTACTGCGTCTGTCCGGCCTTCTCTACACTCTGGCTACGTCTGAATATTAGCGATGTTTTTACCATCCTTTCTACACCCACCATGTCCTGAAAACAGTGAAATGAGCTTTGGACCATGTGTGATCCACAAGAAGCTCAGACTCTCTGATGCGGCGCGCAGCAGCAGCGTCGTCTTTCTCACTAGACGAGTGAACCGCGACGATGAACTTCATCTTCTGATCTTCATCAGAAGGTGAATATTACATTTCAGAATCAGAGTCCCAGACGACGAGCTTCGCCAACAGTGAACAAACCTGTCAGTGTTGTAAGTTTCTCCTCTCTAATATATAATAAAAATTCGCCCTCTGTGAGCTCCGTTCGTCTCCTCTCCTCAGTCCGGGGAGTTTTCAAACTATATGAAGTCCCAAAATTTCAACAGAAACGCCCTAAAGTGTTGCTCAGATTGAAGTTACCCATCTCCACGATCTTGTGGTATAAAGTAAAAACTACATGAGGGATTATATTTGCTGCTGTGGCTCGTCAAATGCAATATTGCAACTTTGGCGCTTAAGAGGTCAAATTTAGTCTCAGCAGGCCTTTCAGTTATAAGCCTTATAATTAATTATTATTTAATGTACACATGAGTGAAGTCAAGTGAAACATTTAATTATAGTTTTAATTTATATTGTGCATTGTTTTTATGTCCGTGCTAATTAAATATTTTCATGGTTTTGTAATTGAGTTATTGCAATCCCTTGATTTTAGTGATGTTAGCACACATGTAGCCATGAATGCTATGGTTGTAATTACTGACATGATAAATTATTTTCATGTTCATTTCGGTGCATCCCTAAATCTAATAGCCGTTTAAACCGACTCCAGCTGGTAACTTACTGCTGCAGAGGCTGCAGCGCTGCACGCTAGCCCGTGGCCCTGGTTTATTAGAACACTATGCACATAGACGTCTGAATCAGTGTGAGTGTCACACAGGTAGAGCTGCAGGATGTCTCCCTCGTAGTGGTCCAACGCACCCACCAGGGCGCGATTAGAGCACAGTTCCAGGAAAGAGGCTGTGGCTTCAGGAGTCCAGTTAACCTACGAGTGAAGACGGTCACCATCATTAAAGCTGAAGGTATCACAAATATTAATAAAAAATAATTAAATGTACGTAAGACAGTAAACAAAATGTTCAAACTCACAGAGGTGGGTTTGATTCCAGCGAGCGATGATGGAACTGCTTGTGCTGGAAGAACTGAATAAGTTGACCTGGAACAGAGAAACACAACCGGTAGACGGAAGAGGAAGACACAAAAACACACATCTTCCTGTGCTGCTGATAGGTCCATACTTGAGGAATTTGAGGCTGTCGCTTTGGACCACAAGGATGTCACCATAGTCCACAAAGTACACCTCAACCTCAGAGGCGTTTAGAACTCTGTGGATCACCACGCGGTAGAACCACAACCCTTTAGGAGACACGCAGCAGACCTGACCCTTTCGGATAAACGGCGCAGAAAGGCGGTACTGCGCCGAAACTAAAGGACAGACATAACACATTCTGGGAAAGAAAAGCACAAAATAAAAGTCATCTCACCTCAGAAGGAAAACAGATCCTTTCTAAAATGAAGCTGGAACCACAGAAAAAAAATCACAGGCCCCATCAGCTCATACATCACCTCATCTGAAACATCAAGTCCTCCAGAGCGCGCGACTCGCTGCTGTCACTGAAACTGATGTAGAAGTCTCCGGGCGACTCCACGTGCTCCACCATGACCTCGATCAGCTGACGGGCTTTGTGGCTCGTCAGTGGTTTGAGACGCTGACCCTGCACAGCGTCCAGAGGCACGGTAGACCTAAGACGCACCTCAATATCAGGGTACACCTACAAGAGGACACAGAAGAAAGCCCGAGCAAGGCTGATGAGCTGCTACTAGAAACGTTTACCATTACAATCTGGATGGAGGACATCAAACATTTTCTGCCCAGTGGATGGTCTCCAACCTTTTTTTCAGTCTTGGACGTGGGAGTGGGTCCAAACTCCTCGGTGTCATTGTCTGCTGTACAATCCTCCTCATCATCATGAGCTCCATCTTCCTGTTTACCTTCCCAAGGAGACGTTTTAAAGCTAAAGTAGGAGCTTTTAACTGGCATCCTTAACAAATCACCTCTGCCCTTTGTCTTTGAATCTGAAAAGTTAAAGACAGTGATCACATGACGTGAACGAGAGGACAGCTAGGTCATTGTGTCCTTAAACATTTGAGCATACACACCTATGTGTCTGTCCTCACAGTCCTTTATGTCCACTACTATCCAATGGTGGCCGTTGTCACCCTCTGCTGGTTTCAGGTGGAACGTGTCACTCAGGGCACCAATGAGTTCAGTAACGCTGACAAAGCCACACTTCAAGAAGGGCAAATCTTCTGCATAGAGTTTCTAAATGAGGAGAAACGAATATTCAGGCGGAGTCCCTGTTTTATGTCACAACGAGAAGTGCTGGACATGTGTGAAGCTGTCAGAAAGCTCTGTGGTAGATTCATCTCAACTGTTAAAGAGCAAGTCACCCCCTACAAGAAACTTACTTCACTCCCTCTTCATGTTTGAAAAATGCAACAAATGCTGTTGCCTAGCAGACCGAGAGGGCGGAGCCGCTAACAAATACATACACACACACAGGCTCACAACGGCATTGTGACATCATGAGGACCAGTTTACATCATAGCATACCTCTTAGCCAATAGCGGTGGCAGATTTAAATTCTAATGCAGTGCAGTTTTTACCTGACAACGGCACAACACTGACAGTTTTAGGCAGAAAATTACAATTTTAACTAAAATGCACTAAAGTACAAAACTATTAACTACACGTGTCTGCAGCACGATTAGACACACATTTATATAGTTTATCAGAAAATAAAGTTGATTTGGGGGTGACTTGCTCTTTAAAATTCTCTGAATACGTTTCACCTGCTTAGCTCCAGACTTCATGTCCACCAACGTTCAACTTTATCATAAAATGATGGATGAAAAGCAGAAACAGGAAGCTTAACTGAGTGAAGTTAGATAAAGTTAACTAGAACCTTCGTCACTATAATGTAAAGCACACGTTTCTTTAAACCAATGTTGGTCTAAAGCTCTCATGGGAACAACATGATGAGAAAAGATCTACTTTCTCTATACCTTGTACTCAGCAGGAAGCTCGTGAATCGATAATCCACCACTCCTCTGACCTACAACCTGCAGAGAAATGTAGGGGATCTCATTAGATTCCCTGAGTACTCCTGGAAACACGTCTCTGCTCAGTCTGACAGAATATCACAAAAAATAAAAACAGAACTAAATACAGCAAAAGTGATTTGTCACATTACGGCGTCAGATTTGCTTTTTCATAAAATATATAATCAGCATCTAGCAGGTTGTGCTCATCTTTCATCCAGTGATGACTGCCTGAAGAAGTATGGCTCTATTTGTTAAGCTGTTTTTTTCCAGTGTCAGTGTAACAGGCGGATGTGACAGACAGAGAGAGGGAGCGAAATAAATTACAACACCTGATTTATTCTCCACTTCACTCACTGTATATAAATGAGCCATAATAACAGGTGCACTTGGGAGACAGCAGCAGTGTGTGTGTGCCAAAAGCTGCTGCCGACGCTTGTCGCCGTGCTTGGATGACTACAAAAAGGCCCCAGGAAATATGCTTCTGAACTAGAGAGAAGTCTGACCTTTCGTAGCTTGTCCTTCAGTTCCTGGCTAACACTGCCAGCAATACCATTCTCCAGAATTTGCCGATGAAGTTCCTCTTCAAGCTGGTGCAAAAGTAGGAAAAAACAATCACATCCTAAGTCTCAGTTAGGGTTGTTTTCATGTTACTGTTCACATGATCAGGTTTTGCTTAGGCCATCAGTTAACAGCAAGAACCAGTGTCTTCAATTTAAATTTGAAAGTGCAGTTACTCTTTTTTTTTTTTTAAACAACTGAGAGCAAACCTTTAGCACATGGTCCTGAAATAGGTCTGCAGCATCTTGGCATGGCACGGATTTGGGCGGGTGGGACATCTCAGGCCTCTCTAGCCTGCTGCTGACAGTTGGTTCATTACGACTGGGGTCTGAAGGACTCTCAGATGACTGGGTCAGAGGACTCTTCACTGGAAGGCCAGCTGAAGAATATTTTAATTAAATATGGCAAGTACAAAAAGACAAAAAAATCTCCGGATATAAATTCAACAACTATTAACAGACCTGATGGTTTTCTAGTTTCAGGAGTTTTGATGTATGGACCTCTGTGAGGATAAAGCTGTGCTGGCTTTGGTGGTTCAGTATTTCTTGAGGACGCCCATGGTACCATGAGTGGCCTGGGTAACAGTTTTTCCCTCAGGATAAGAACTGTGCCCTGTCTTCCTTGTTGTAAAACAATCATGTCCTTCGCTGCATCCAGCATTTCTCCGATGGAGTAGAAGCCATAGTTGGACACACGCAGAGGGTTACCAAAGCAGCGGAAGTAATACATCTCAAGGTCGGATAACTTGATAGGACCCTAGGAGAGAGACTGCAACATTACAAAGACTTCTGTCTCTCTCTGTAATACCTACTTATTACTTGCATTTGGAATAGGGATATTCCGATCCCCTTTGTTGAGTTCATTCACTCAAATTCCACTTTTTCAAACCGTTTGTTGCTCTGCCTTCACTGTCTGGCTTAAAAGGGTGTCTGAATTCCCTGGCTACCTTAAACTACGTGACCTTATGTTGTTGTTGTCATCTGTGAAACATTTAATACTGGTGTGGTGGAACCAAAGTGCAAATTAGGAATGCTTCGATACAATCATGTGATCAGCAATCGGACCCGATCACATGATTTTCAAAGGATCCAGAATAGGCGGCTATGATCCGCTGTAACCTTATAAAACAATAAGCATGACTTCTTAAATTCATCCTGAGATGGAGAGTTTCAAATGGAAAAACAATGGCTTAGTTTTAATTTTTCTTCACCTATGTTTAACAGGAAGAAAAAAAAAGACAAACAGATTGATTACTGAAGAGCTGCAGCAGAGTCTTAAACGAGGTTCTTTTTGCTTCGGACATGAAGGTGTTTCTAATGACCTTTTTACATGTTTCGACCGTCATCTGCGGTCTTCTTCAGAAATGTCACAGGTGTTTGTGTGACGCGTCTTTATCAGCTGTTCTTCTTAGGGATGCACCGATACCTCTTTTTTCCAAACAGATACGATACCGATACTTGGATCTGAGTACTCGCCGATGCCGATTACCGATACTTCCACCACACAAAAAATTGCAATGATTTGGAATACAGATTTTATTTTCTTCTCTGCTTTCAACAGGAAAATACTGTGAGGTAGATAAAAAGTAAAATATATGAATGGAAATCATCACAAAACTAAAATATTAGGTGAACAGATATGACAAGTTACAGTGAAGCCATTTTCAAGCAACTGCATTGGTATCGGTTCCTGGTATCGTTAACTTTTACCGATACCGATACTGGTATTGGTATCGGTGCATACCTAGTTCTTCTGGTGGGCGCGACCAACCCGGATCTGTCAGCTCCGCCGGGTCGGTAGCGCCCACCTTGGCTGGCTGGTCTTTGGAGAAGGGAATCCCAGGTGTGAGACAGCTGATAGGCCACCTCGTCTCTCCAATGCTCCCGTTTCCTTATTTCTTTTGCCTGCCTGACCCAACGCTTGAACCGGTTGTTCTCCGTGTTGATAATTTTTCATTGATCCCATTCCATGATGTGGTTATTTCGGTTGCAATGATCTGAGATGGCTGACTTGAGGGTTTGCTCCTCTGTAGGGTTGTCACGGTAACCGGTGTAGCAGTAAACTCCGGTAAAAAAGTTGACAATAATAATAACCGTCTTGTTTTTTAAACATATTTTATCTCTGTGGGTTTACCGTGGCTGCGGTGTAGGCGCGGTGACCCTTACCAGCCACCGTATCATCTGCTGAAGTTGCCGGCGGCACATGCGCACTTTGTTGTTTACAACCAAAACTTTCTTGAAGCTAAAGCTGAAATAATGGCCAAAGGAGGAGACGGCAGCACTCAGGACATTTATTATCCCTCAAAGCAGACAAAGTGGGAAGTACGGGCATCTTTTGGATATTTGAAGAATGCCGAGGGACAGTTGATAGAAGACGGCTATCCTGTTTGCAGCATGTGCAGAAAAAGTGTCTGTGAAAGGCAGCAACGCTTCAAATCTCATGACACATCTGCGTGACCATCACCCACAACTCTACAGTCAACGCAAGGCAAGCTAACGTTAGCCTTTTAGCTAAAATGCGTGATCCGAGGATTTGGGTTGAGGGAGAATGCAACGAGTCGCTATATAAAGCAGCCGCAGCGCCGCTACCTGCATATAAACCGTGTCGCGGACACCCCCATGTTGAAATGACACTATGCATTACGGGGCTCCCAGGGGCAGATAAGAGTTGGTCTCTCTCTGAGAATAGTTATGAATTTAACAATGATTACTGCCTGATGACATTTTACCAGATCTGCAAAGCTCACTGGAGGGACACAAACCGAGGACAATATTTTCCTGATATAGGGTTTATTACTCAAGTAAGGGTAAAAAAGTATCTGATTAGAAGGCTACTTGAGTACTGAGTATCATCTGGTCTAATATTTTTAAAATGATAACATCAAACAGACAAAAAATAATAAGTTATGGGAAAATATTGGTATTTTAAAGACTAAAGGGGAAAAATGTAAACAAACAACATAATTACAAAATAACACATTTTAGGCAAAATTTAGACACAAACTGAGGACATTATTTCCTGACATACAGGTTTTATTTAATTGTGTGAAAATGTAGCATGTTTAAAAAAAATACTGCTGGTAATTTTGGTCACAATAACCGTGAGGTTAAATTTTCACACCGTGACAACCCTACTCCTCTGCTTTTTTTCTTTGTTGTCCTTGTGAGTCTTTCCATTGTTTGCTTCTCGCATTCCTTCTGGTGCTCTTTTCTTCTTATGTCATATGTTCAGCCAGTTTCCCCTATGTATGTTTTATTGCCCGACATGCAGGGTATTTCGTAGATTACATTACATTTCTTGTCTGGTTCTATTTTGTCCTTGGGGTGTACTAGCAGCTGTCTGAGTTTCATGTGAGGTTTGACGGTTGTGTTGATTTGTTGTTTTTTCATGGCCCTTCGTATACGTACAGTGACTCCCCGGATATATGGAATTGTGATGGTGTACGTGTGCGTGTGGTCTGGTCTTTGTTTTAGTTTCTTCTTTTGGTCTCTGTTTTTTTAAATTTTCTTTGACTTGTTTTCCTTTTCTATGGCCCATTTTGGATACTGACAGAGGGTTAGTGCTTGTTTGATGTGTTCTTCTTCCTGTTTGTGGTCTGTTTTATCTGTAATGAAGCTGGTATGTTCTGACTAGTGATAATTTGTGTGCCGTGGGGTGTTCAGATGTCCAGAGCAAATATTGGTCTGTATGTGTGGGTTTTCTGTATATTGTGATGTATATGTTGCCGTCTTCTGTGTGGTGAATGTTCATGTCCAAAAATGCTATTGCTTTGTTTCCTCTTCTTGTGTGAATTGTATGTTTCCCGTGTTATCGACAGTGTTTAGGTGGTCCGTGACTTGTTGTGTGTGTCCGGTTTTTATTATTTCCAAGATGTCGTCCACGTATCTTCTCCAGAACATGGGTCTGATGTGTGCAGGTGCTGTGTTGATGGCCTTTTCTTCCAAATCCTCCATGAAAAACCCGCTCATTAGGGCTGAGGGCGGGTCTCCCAGGGCAAAACCTTCTTTTTGTCTGTATATTTTATTTTTCTACTGAAAATATGTGGATTTGGCTACAAAATCTAACAGGGTGGATATGTTGTCTACTGTCAGATTTGTCCGGTTCTTCGGTGATCTGTCCGTTTTTAGGTGTTCATGTTCTATGTGTAGCGTGACCTCTATGGGTGTTTTTGTGAATAGTGAAATGACATCATGTGAGATGAAGATGTCATTTTTTTCTATTTTCATTGTTTTGAGTTCTTCAGCCAGTTGTTTTGAATTGCTGCAGTGATATTCTGATAGTCCTAATAGAGGCTGGATGATCTCCACCAGGGCTTTTGATAGGTAGGTGACTGATCCGATGCTGTCCACAATGGGGCGCAGTGGGGTGTCTGTTTTGTGGATTTTTGGAGTGCCATAGATCCGAGGGGTCACACTGGCTCTTGGTACGAGGTGCTTATATGCGTCCTGGCTTATTTTGTTGCATTCCACTAGTGGTTTTAATAGTTATTCTTGGGTTTTTTTTATGTTCTTTTCTTTTCTTCTGTTGGGTCTGACAGATCCGGGTTGGTCGCGCCCACCAGAAGAACAGCTGATAAAGACGCATCACACAAACACCTGTGACACTTCTGAAGAAGACCGCGCAGACGACGGTCGAAACATGTAAAAAGGTAATTAGAAACACCTTCATGTCCGAAGCAAAAGAACCTCGTTTAATATTTAAAAAGAGGACATAATGAACATCGTAAAGGATGCAGCAGAGTCACTTCAAGTTTTACCTGGCTGAGCAGGAAGCGCAACTGCATCCTAAGGTGAGCAGGGAGGGGTGGAGGAGCACAACCTCTTCTAGGAAGACCTACAGAGATGGATCTGTGATGATAACGAGGACCAGCAGTATAGAAGCCTCTCTTGATTTTGGCGTCGGCCTTGGAGGTCCGCTGCTCGGCCACTAGTGTTGCAATGTTTTGAGTGTCCTCATTGCTCATGGCTTTATGTAGAAGACACAAATAAGGGTATGAATTTTTAAAGAAATGTGGACGAGTTATTCATTAGTAATAATATGTAATTAAAAAAGGTAGTTTACCCTTTAGAAATAGGCTACCATCAGCCCTGTAATTAACAGAAACTACATCAGGCATCTCCTGAACCGCTTCTAGAATGTTCCTGAAGCCCAGAAGTTTCAGGGGCATTGGATGTCCCAACATGTTGACATAATCTTTACGAAGTTGTTCTGGGGCCAATCCCATTTTAGAGGACATGAGCAAGGAACGAACATCCTTCTTCAGCTTTGCAAAAACATCTTCCTGGCTCATCGTGCCAGTTTGAGACTAAATAAATAAATAAATAACAGAAAGGATATATGAGTAACAACATACTTGTATTCCTGTACACACTGTTAGAGCTGTAATATGAATCAGTGCAGTAAATAGATGCAGAATGAACACTCAGTTGTGACATGCACAAGCCCTAAAGATTCATCATAGCTTTATCAATGCATAAAAGAGAGCTTCATCTTTGTAATAGTTTAAAGTTAAGGCTGGAGATATGAACCAAATCTTGTACCTCATTATTTTTCCAGATGAAATCTGATTTGATATAGGTCAATATATTTTTCTCCTTGTGAAGTATATACACACGTGTGTGTTTACATATTTCAGAGACTTTATAACATGTCATGTCATGCAGTCGCCACCTCTAAACTCACATTTCCCTTTATTTCCATCAACTAATACAACGTTTGCTACATATTTTTGTACTCCTTCAGCCACGGGTGAATAAATGGTCATATTTTCAGACTTTTTCACAATGCGTTCATAGATATGTTCTGTGTCAGCCGGCCGCTAAATATCTTTTTACTTTTTGATAGAGCAATGACGGTGCTGTTGATGAATTTAAAGGAAGCGGCATCCTGACCAATCACAAGCTTGCAGTCTCCGTCACTTTAGACAGATATCTAAAAATTCGAGCATGACTCTATCACCCTCTGTGAGCCTGTTGGAAACCCCTTGCACCAACGCATAGTGGTGTTACGCGTCTCTGCACCGACGCAGATGGAGAAGTATAAAATAAGACTTATTTTGTAGTCTTTCAATGAGACATTTTTACAAGCTAACAAAACTCAAAGTATGTGACAGACAGTCGAAATTGACATACTTATTATTTCCTTTAAATTGAAGTACAATTTACACTCACCCCAAGGATTATTAGGAACACCTGTTCAACTCCTCTTTAATGCAATTATCTAATCAACCAATCACATGGCAGTTGCTTTAATGCATTTAGGGGTGTGGTCCTGGTCAAGACAATCTCCTGAACTCCAAACTGAATGTCAGAATGGGAAAGAAAGGTGATTTAAGTCATTTTGAGTAGAGCCCTGCACTGAAGCCCTAGGCCCTCGGGCCAACGACTGTGTAATTACCTCAGACACGGGCCGAGCCGGGCCCCTTTATTTTTAATCAAATTCATAAAAAAAATTTGAAACACAAACGCAGCAGTAGAGCCCTGCGCGGGACTGTTTTCTTCATCCCGCTCCTGCTGAATTTCTGACCATTACCGCCCAGCAACCGCAACGTGTGTGTTACACTCCTGCCCGCACCCGTAGCGTGCATGTCTACTCCTGCCCGCAACCGCAAAACTCGGAGAAATTATTACCTCACAATAAAAGAGATGTATCGAGTTTGCGTCCTCTCTGGTCCTGGAGAAAACATGTCACAACCCGCAGCTCTTCCATCCATCTGATGCGGCTCTCTGTGCTAGTAAAATAATGAATGGATATTTAAATAAAATGCTTTATATTTTACTGCATTAATTTTATATCTGTAAGTCAATTCTATGGTAAGATTGTCTGCGTAAACCTGAACAGGTCCAACCCAGTCTTACTGTGAGACCGGGTTGACGGGTCATGCTTGTGCGTAATCATATCGGCGCTTTCTGAGCTGAAGATGTCAGATTCTGGGCTTCTCCTCAGACGGCTCATGGATGCGTCGCCAAATTGGAGACAGGAACAAGCACTATTCAGCCAAAGTTTCATAATCAGGGAACATTTTCTAAGTGACAAGTCTCTCTGAGAGACAGGGTTTGGAAAACACTCGCTTCAGTGAGAGGAACCTTCCCGCATGCGCTCTAGTTCTGCGATGCGCTCCAAGCCAATCTCCACAACTTCAGCTCGCCTCGCTGTGCACATATGCGCTGAGCAGCACAGATGTTCAGATCAGAATCTTTTAGCTACATCTGCGATGTGTGTAACAAATAAAATGTCAGTTTGTCTGCATGCGTCGGGGTAATTCTTTCTATTCTTTCTCCGTTAAACTAAACCGTCAAATACGGGAACTATCCGGTCAACACAAGCCCTGCTTTTAACTGTTCTGTTTTCTTGTGAAAATTGTTGGAAAGAGATAAAATTTAACTTGATTAACACCAGAGCCAGTGCGCCATCATCTCCGTGACGGTAAATGAGGGAAAAACAAATTGATCGGATCCTGCACGTCTTTTAACACATTGGTCAGGATTGACGCACTTTGTTTTCATTTAGTTGGTTACAAAAAAGTCGGGCTCAGGCTTGGGCCAGAGAATCCTGCAACCTTTTCCGGCCAGGTCGGGCTGGGGCTCCACTCCCCTCGGGCCGGGCCGGACACAGGCTCAGATTTTAGGCCCGTGCAGGGCTTTCAGCACCTTGTAAAATCAATGCCACGTAGAATTAAGGCAGTTCTGAAGATGAAAGGGGGTCAAACGCTATATTAGTATGGTGTTCCTAATAATCCTTTAGGGGAGAGTATGTGTGATTCAGGGCGTAAGGCTAAGCGGATTCAAAAATAGCTTTTACAGCTGCTTTCACTTGCATTAATTTTAGTTTGTTCTGGGGACCCATGAGCAACCGGAAGGGGAGGAGGCATGTCTACTCACTAAAAACAAATGTATTTACCAGCAAAACAAAGGTGACGTGAGGGAGACTTTCTCTTTTAAAAAAAACAACTTTCAGATATTGTTCAGTGACATGTACTGATGGGTTGTAAGGTTTCTTTAATCTAATTTTTCACTCATCTTAAAACACAAATATACTATTGTAATATTATGCTGCAGGTGCTTAAATTGAAAAGGAAAGCATTCAAAATCAGAGACAAGCTTTTGGTCAGAATCATTTCAAACATTACTAAAAGGTTTGGCAGCTTAGAAGAAAAATAAAAAATCTACAATTGATTTTAAAGAAATGCATACTTGTTTAACAAAACTTGCCGTTTAAATTTCCTAACCTTCACAAATCTTTATAAAACAGAATAAAACAAAAAACACAACTTTAAACGTATTACCTGCCATTAAGATGTCAACTACCAGTTTTAACCATCGTTTTAAAAATAATTTCAGTTGTTAATGCTAAATTCGTTCCCGTTGTCATAATAACTTAAAATGGAACAAGCGTGTGTACTTACTGATGGCCCGACTCCTTAGATAAAAAAATACTTCAACCACTTTTTATGGAATATAAACCGTTAGCTAAAATGGCTTTTCGAGTTTTTTTCCTTCAGTGAACCCACTGGACATAAAAAAACAAGTTTACAATTTAGAGTTTTGTTTTTGACGCAGCTTCCCACAATATCTGGAGCATTTGCTAGCTTAATTTTCCCCACACTTGCTGTTAGCTAACCAGCAAACACGCAAGCACACGCGCCAAAGCTGGGGTGCGTTTGATCTGACGCAACATGAGTGGTAAAAATTACAAAACACGTATACATACTACCGTTGAAATAAAATTTGACACACATTTACTATAACGTGATCGCGAATAATCAAGTTTGTTTTTATTAGAATTTAAGTTTGTACTTTTATAAAATTTATATTTTATTTTCTTAGGGAAAAAAAGAGTATTCGACCGGGATTGGCTCGGCCAGGAAGGAGAGGATCAATAAATAAAGCGCACCTTTTTTTCTCAGCGGAACTTGTTTACTGACGCACCCGAAACAAAGGCAGTAAAAAACTTCTGATCCAGGGATTTTTTTTGTGATGAGATGGCTGTTTTAAATATGTGGATTATATATGTGTTTTATATATATATATATATATATATATATATATATATATATATATATATATATATATATATGAATCTTACCTATAACTGAATGTTTGAGTAGTGTCTCATGACTGTGTGAGAGATGATTAGTGCAGGATGCTTCAGGATTGTTAACCAGAGGCTGCTGAGTAAATATTTTATTTAATTAGAAACACAATAGGGAGGGTGCTGAATGCCATTCTACGTCAATGCAAAGATCCTCCCTAAACTTAGTTGGTCCTACATATTTAACCCTCAATAATCTTGACTACATCTAAAGAAACATACAATAAACAATCATCAAATGGGGTTTTAAAGAAAACGGTACAGGAGAGTTTCTCGTTGCCATCATAGCTGAAAAAATAAGGCATTGATGATAGGATGGTAACATTCACTGACAACATAATGAATTGGAAAACTTAACAAGGTGGTGACACTCCCACTGGTGTCCTACTCCCACAGTCTTATTAGACTTGTCTTTATCTTTCAACACTTCTCCCAGACTGGGGCTCCTTCAGCCACACAGGAAACACCCAAGGCTTGTTTTAGCTAAGAACCACCTTATCAACTCATCACAAGAAAACAAACCTCTGGTTGATATGGAGACGTCCTCGAATGTCCATTCAGGTCATAGACTGAGAGCGATGCCCCGTAAAGAGAGGGAGAGGGGAGCTGCAGTGCCTCCAAGAAGTCAACGTCAACGGCTTCCAAGAGCCGGACAGCAACCTGAAACTCCAGCAGTCAGGAAGGACAGCACACAGCAGAAGACAGAGACAAACCAGGGGATGATGGAGGGGGATGCAGAGTTTAAGCTGAAATCTACAGTGGTTGACATTGATCGTGTTAGAGATGATGATGTCAAGGAGAACCTGGCGCTCTTAGAAACAACGGAGCAGGAAGATGGTGAGTCAAAACCTAACAGTGATGATACGAGTAAAACAGTCTGAACTTCTCCTTTTTGTTTAGTGATTTTAAAATGCTAACTAATCTGAAGTTCTTGACAAAAAAGGCTCTTTGCATTTCCTCAGGTCTGAAGAGGAAGAACTTGGGAGCATTTGAGTGGCTGCTGATGGTCTTTGCCTTGATTCTGGTTCTCCTTTTTCTTCCCGTCTCCATCTGGTTCTGTGTCAAAGTACGAACTTCAGATCCAACGACGTCAAACTCTTAACTCATAGAAAAGCGTCAAAGCTCTCGTCTGCAAATGAGATCAAGTTCATGCAGGACCAAGGCTGCACTCAGTTTCTGATGCTGTAAAAGTGTTTAACTGCACATCTGCATCAGATAAACCAGTTTAACAAGTATTTTTGTTTTCTACTAAGGTATTAACAGTCTATTTCCACCATATTCATGGATAAAATACTTATGTTTCCAAATATTTAGGGTGTGTGCACTTCTCATTTTCAACTTCAGCCTGTGTGGGATAGTTTGTATTTATATGTAAAATACTTTCATAAAGGTTTCCATGTCACACACCCTGGTTTGGGTTTGAGCTAGCAGTCTGAGCTACTAAATACAAATGTGGCCCTGGTAATTAAAGTTAAAGTCCCATCAGTTGTCACACACACTGGTGTGTGCGCGAAATTTGTTCTCCGCATTTGACCCATCCCCTGGGGGAGCGGTGAGCTGCAGACACAGCCGCGCTCGGGAACCATTTGGTGGTTTAACCCCCCAATCCAACCCCTTAATGCTGAGTGCCAAGCAGGGAGGCATTGGGTCCCATTTTTTCAAAGTCTTTGGTATGACCCGACCAGGAATCGAACCCTGATCTCCCAGTCTCAGGGCTGACACTCTACCACTAGGCCACTGAGCTGGTACCTTGTTTATTTTTTTATTAGTGTGTTAACACAACAAAACCAGTAGTTCTGGGTATTTTTCACCAGAAAATAAAATGTTCTATAGCGTCAAAGCAGCAAAAACTGTTCAAATAATCTCAAAAAGTCATTAAAATTCAAATGTTTTACTTTTATCTTTAAATGAAAACTTAAAATGACCTTTCATGCAACCAAACAACAAAGTTGCATAAGTAAGTGAATACTGTGCTGTGTAACAGACGGCCTTATTTATTGCTCCATAATTGTTCCTGTTTTGTCTCAAACGTCATTTATTAGATAAATATGTCAAAAATGTTACAAGGTGATTGAAATGTTTTTGCATCTCCACTGGAAGCTCCAGTAATGCTGTTTGAATCTCCAGGTAGTCAGGGAGCATGAGAGAGCTGTGATCTTCAGACTTGGTCATCTTCTGCAAGGAAAACCCAAGGGCCCAGGTCAACACTCATCATTCTTATTGTCATTGCTGGTATTGATGCACATTCTGTATTTTAACAGTAAGAAGCTAGAGTTACTGATGGGTTGTTTTCATTTTGCTTTGCATTTTTTATCCACTGCATATGTTTTGGTTTTCTTGGCAAACCAAAAGGTTATTATTGATAAACGATATAAAACATAAAATAAAACTGTTTACACTCAGGATGCATTTTTCTTGTTTGATCAACAACAGCAATCAGATGAGGCAGAGTTCTGCCTTATTAACACCTAATCGTCTCTGGGGAAAGGTTTGCATATTTACTAAGCGACTGACGTGTCCTTCTCTCCCTAGGCCTCATCTTCTACCTCCCTCTTCTTGACGTGTGTCACAAAGTCGACGTCCGACTCAGAATGTTGAAGATTCCTCCTCACATGGTTCAAAATGCTCAGCAGTCTGATAAAAACATACTTCAGAGTGATGAGTGAGAAGAACAAGGCCGTTTTTGTTTTTATCCCTGCAGGTGGTGACGAAGGACCTGTCCAGGCCTGAGCTAAGTGCAGTGTGTTACTACCAGATAGAAAACGTAGCTCTGTGCAGCATGGCATTGTCCAGTCTGACCTCAGTGCTGCAGAGTCTGGTCCAGGCAGCCATCAGAGATGTTCTCGCCCAGCACACGTTTAGCTACATCCTGCTGCACCGGCGCAAGACTGGGGAGCAGATCCGAACAGCCGTGGATGCTGTCAGCGGTCGCTGGGGCATCAGGGTAGAGAGAGCCGACATGTAAGCCTGAAGATCAAACCTCGTCCCACTTCTCTTATTTTGTAGACATGAGCTGATCAAAGCAGAAACTCCGAGATTGAAACAGTACAGGAAAATGTTGAAACGTTGTGTTTTGGTGGTATTTGTGTCTGATTTCCTGTCAGAGATGAGCTCAGTTTCCCCGCTGAGCTGCAGCAGAGTCTGGCTGCAGAAGCTGAGATCAAGAGACAACAGCAGGTCAGAGTGAGTCACCTGATGTTCTAAAATCACCTCATTCATTTCTTATTTTGAATGCTCACCTTAGCTGTGATCAGCTGAAACATCCACTTTTAAAAGTAAGGGCAATAACTACTGCAGTCTCCTCCTCTTTGCAGGTGAAAACATCTGAAAGTGAGACGTGTGGCTGGGATGGGTTTCGGGCCTCTCTTCGTCATCTCCACCCTGCCTTGGTCTTTCCTCTCCCTCCAGATCTACTCAACATGAACTCTGACCTCTCCTCCCTCCCTCCACCTCCTCCCCCCACTGTGGAAGAAGATGGACAGGTGACAGCTGCTGACCCAGGAACAGACTCACCTATGATGTGATATCCTGAAATGTTCATTATTACCATCCTTAAAAAAATCTCAGATGAATCACTGATGGGACTCTCAGTCATGGAGCTCCTTTAGTTTATATGAATCTTGCACAAATCTATTCAAACTGATCACTTAAATGTCTAATTGTGTCAAATATTTTCTCATTTGTGTTCTAAAGCACAAAAACAGGGGAGGTCTGATCACATATCTGTGTAAAACTTCATTTATTTAGCAGAAAGAAGAGATCGTTTTGCTGAAAAAGCATCAGGAGGTTGGAGAAAAACGACAGCAAAGCCTGTCCACGCTCTGTAACACGTACATGCCATTTCAAATGAGTGATATCTTTATTTGTGTTAATGAGGAGCGACTGGTTCGTAATGGGAGATAACGTTTTCCTCTGACTAAATACAACATGAATCTAGTTTTAATACAAGTTATGACACACCAGATCATTTTTTCTTGCTCTTCTTGGTGGATGGTTTGGCTTCAGGGGGTGTTGTTTTAGGAGGAGCTGGTGTTGTAGGAGGAGTTGTTTCATTCGTGTCTGAAACAAAGATGCCTGTGTAAGTTTAATTAGAGTGTTCCTGTTAGTTTAAGAGCTAATAAAAGTGAGTGATCAGCCTGTAACTTCATTACTTTGAGGCTCCGGGGGCATTTGCAGTTGCGACTCCAGGAGTTGCTGCTTCTCTAGCGATGCCTGCAGGGCTTCTTCAGCTCTCTGTGCTCGCTGCTCAGCATTTGCTGCTCTCACCTCTGCATCCCTGAGCAAAAAAAAAAAAAAAAAAAAGTTTGCTTCAGAAAAAAGGATTTTTTTTTGCATGTGCTTAAGTAGAAGGAGGATAATAATCGAGATAAGTTTTACCATAAAAATGTCAATATTTCACCAAATAAGTGTGTGAGCCATGTTCTAGATGCAGCTCATGCTGATGTCTCAGATTCTGGCTTACTGTAATAGCCATTGGTTGCTCAGGGTTTGAGTTATTGCAAACACTAAGGACACGCTGATACACTTAAAAACTACGATTTTCTTCAACAATAAAAAAAAATCCTCTGGGCAGCTTCCAGAGGAGCCACCAGGCTGGGACCAGCAGGTCCATCAGGACGCTAAACCCCCATCCCAGCTTTCCCATTTTCCTTCTCTGACCTCTGCCCCCAGACACTAACCAAAGGTTTAAATGGCAGAACACACACACAGTTGTCACAACATTTTACTACTATTTATACCTTAAGAGCTGCCACATGTGTGTTTTTATAGGTATTTGGTCATTTTTGCTGCATATTTTTACTGTTTTGCACCTCGACTGTGAAGAAACACCATTTCAATTATGTGGTTGTCTGGTACAATTGGTAATTTAGTCAATAAAGTGGAATTAACTGAATTAGCAGCATATTGAGAGAGTTACAGTACATTAATGGAGTAACTTCTTTTGTACGTTCGCCCTGTGCAATCCATCAAATTCCATTGTCTGGTTCTTTTCTTGACTTGTTTTTACCCTACAATAAAAATAAGGAGATGTGGACACCACCATGAACAGAGACAGTGGAGTTTACACATCAGATCACGCATGGGACAGTGTCATCGGCGAGGAGGGTGCAGGCAGCAGAGGGCGACATCGTCCTCTGCTGCCTGCAGATAAACGGAGAAGGGAGTGACGCCACCAACATCAGCGGTGCTTTGAAGTAGGCTACAGTGTTAGCCAAAACTTGTCAGCTAAAAATGGTAAAACCAAATCAATACTCTGTGCTTAGACAAGAACCAAACAATGGAAATAATAGAGTAAACTTACATCAGTTGTTGTTGCAGGATCACCATGACGGTTAACTCGTTAAATGCTCTCTGCGATTCTTCTGTCACTGGAGACACAACCAGCTCATCAGTCTGATCAAATAGTTATGAAAAAAAAAAACTTCAAGGTTTTGCCAAAAACATTTAAAAAAAAGAACACAAATGAAACCCGTCTGACCCCAGGGAGGTGGACTCGGCTCTCCTCCAGATCTTTGTCAGTGATGTTTCCATCAAAGTCGATCATCTTCAGCACAGGCCTCTCACTATCTTTATGCTCCAGCTGCAGGGCAACAACAGCAGTGAGTGTCAGTCTGAATAGGATGCAACGCCTGATCATTTTCATAGAAGCATCATTGATGAAACTCCACAAAACTTCTGCCCTTTTTGCAACACTAAAAATCCTCAACCTGTTGGTGTAATAAAATATCACAGATATTATGGTTTTGTAATTGAGTAAAAGTATTACTCTGGAAGGTTCTTCAGTAGTCATCTCATAAGTAATAAGGTGTTGATCGAGTTCCACAATCAGATGTTAAAGACCACTTGAAAAAATGTCAAAAATCCCATTAGCATGGTTGGACCTTAACACGGCTCTAAGTAGAGCTTCAACAGGAAACAAGAAGAAATGGAAGTGAGACCAAATGTTTTCTATTGAAAACATTTAAAGAGACAATGTGTAGTTTCTACCTTTCATTTCTGGAAATATCCATCAAAATGTTGTTGAAAATTATTGGGGGCTTCAAAAACATTAACCATATTCGGATTCCAGAAAACTCAGGATCAGATGGGATTTCCTTGTGCAAGAACATACGAGTGCTTGGTCTGCTTAACGGTGGGTGGTAGGATTGCAGGAAAAAATTTCTGGGACGCATCCTCAGTAGTGTTCCTCTGGATCATGGGGTGTTTCGGCCTTTAAACACTATACACCCTCCTCAGAGGCGGCCAGCTTTAGGTTGATATGACCTAAGCTCGCGTCCCAAGTCCAATTAGCCATTAAAGTGTGCAACCTGTTGCACTACTTGGGGGCCCAAATGGGGTCATTCCTCTTCAGCCAGAGCCACTGGCTGCTTCTTTCTGCTGTAGCTTTGATGGCTCTGCGCTGTTTCTGGCCCATGATTCCTAGGTCCCTTAATAGTTTTGTGGTAGATGTTGCCACAAACGCTCTGCATCCGACCTCCACTGGGCGGACCGCCGCATTCCAGCCACAATGTTTTGCTTCAGCAGCTAGGTCAGCATACCGCAGATGCTTCTGCTCAAAGGCCTCCTCCATGGAATCCTCCCAGGGTACTGTGAGTTTGATTATGTAAACCTTCTTTATGGAGGAGGACCATAGCACCATGTCAGGCCTTATGGTGGTGGTAGCTATCTCTGAGGGAAACACCAGTTGTTAGCCAATGTCTGCCAGCATCTTCCAGTCACGTGCTAGGCACAGCTGGCTTCTCTCTGATGATTTAGAGCTGCTCTTAGTGGCTGCTGTGCCTTCACAGATGAAGGCAGTTGCTCATGGTGGTGTTGAGATGTTAGGTACTGAAAGGGCGTTGATGCTGGATCGTTTTTCCTCCAGTGTAGCAGCAGGGCATTTCAAAACTTGGTTGTGCCGCAAAATGTATCGTCCTTGGGTAAGGCTGGTTTTACACCCAGTGAGCATGTGCCAGAGGGAGGCTGGCTTGGAGCACAGGACGTACCCACGATCTATACCAAATCCCCTGCTGGTGATTAGTTGGTGTTGGTAGGACATGGGGGAATAAAACGCTCATTTTTTTTTACATGAGATATTCTTCAGGCTTCTCTGAGTCTGCCGCTAGATATCCTCGGCTCTCTTTATGTTGGTGCAATGGCGGTGCTGTAGACTACAGCGACGTCCTGACCAATCACAAGCTTGCGTTCTCCACTTCGACGGACGGATGTTTAGAAAAGAGCGCTAGACTCCGTCTGTCCTTGCAAGCCTGCTGGAGAGCCCTCGAAAGGATGGATGATGGCATTGAGTGCGTTCGTCCCGACGCAAACGGAGAAGTATAAATTAGGCTCAAGTCTCTGGGCGACGCCATATTAGATGCCATGTTTACTTCTACGGGAGCCCATGAAGACAAAATGCATTTACTGATTTGTAACAAAAGTTACAGAACTTTCGTCTCTTCACTTGTTGCCAGTGATGAAAGAGAATCTGATGTGCTCGTTATTCTGCTAAAGTTTGCACTCCCCAGGGCTTTTTGACCCTAATGGGCATCCGTTGGTAAAGTCTTACTCAAACACAAAAATACTGCTTGCTTGCAATGATGTAGGCATCTACTGCCCCCTGTAACCAGGAAAAATACACACTGTCACTTTAAGCTGCAACAAGCTGTTTAACAGCTGATCAGGTTTAAGACCATGTGTGGCTGCCGCAGCTCCCCGTAACTCCTGAGGTGGGATGCAGTCATTTGGAATTTCTCGTTCCTGAAGGCTACGGAACAAAAAGGTTAAGTGGAAGACCCACAGATATTTCACCAGCACTGAGTCTGAGGACCCAATTGGCTGTCCGCCAAGACCCTGGATGATTTTGACCCAACGCAAGGCCGTTACTAGTGTCGGTTGCAGCCTCATGGCCATCAGACGGCTTCTGAGACTGAGGCCCTGTCCACACGTAGCCGGGGATCTGCCAAAACGTAGATATTTTTCTACGTTTTGGCCTCTCATCCACACGAAAACAGAGTTTTTTCACACGAAAACGGATCTTTTTAAAAACTCCGGCCAAAGTGAAGATCTGCGTTTTTTTCGTTTTGGGTGTCTGCGTGTGGACAGACAAAACCGGAGTTTTAAGGTCTGCAACGTCACTTTCCGCGACAAAAAATGCTGACATCACGTGTGCGACCTGTGTTTACACTAGCTGACAGCATGGATGCCCTCAGAGCTGCGCTCGCTTTATCAATTGTCCAAGCGCTTTTTGCTTGTTTGTTTTTGCAAGCGGAATTACTGCTCCTTGCGGAAGACCACAGACGAAGGACGAGGTTAAGAACGGGGGAAGTACTGCCGCCTACAGGTCTGGCATGTCCTTAACAACGTATTTATCCGGGTACGTGTGGACAGAGGTTTTTTTTAAAAACGAGGTGGTGTGGATGCAAGTTTTTGGAGGGGCGGATATTCGTTAAAAAAAAAACGGCTACGTGTGGACTAGGCCTGAAGGGTCTCAAAACTGAAAACGTACTCAAAGGCCTCATCTCCTGAGACTGGCCATTTGGACTTTGATACGTGGAGGACAGTTTTATTGTCCGATGAGAAGAAATGTAACCTTAATGGTGCTGTTGGTTTCCAACGTTACTGGCATGACATGCAGATCCCACCTGAGATGGAGCACCATCTGGGATCCTTTTTGCTTCAATGGAAAAATGGAGCTTCAAGAGGTGCATGGAGGCCAAACGACTGCTGGCTATGTCCAGATGTTGCAGAAAACATCCCTCATGACTGAGAGCATTTGTTTGTGTGGTAACCACTGGGCTCTTCAACAGGAGAACACTTAAGGACACAATGCCTGCAGGACAAGGGACTTCTTCCAGGAGAATAACTTGGACCATCCTGCATGTTTCCCCTGATCTAAATCCAATTAAGAACCTTTGGAGATGGGCGACAAGGGATGTTTATGAAACTGGACAACAGTTTAAGACAACAGATGCCCTTCGTGTGACCATCTTCACCACTTAGAGAAAAGTTTCCACTCACCTCATGGAAATGTTTGCATCAAGCAGACCCAACACACTTCTGAAGTGATCAACAATAACGGTGAAGCTTCTTATTAATGAGATTACGTTTAGAGCTTAGATTTCTGTTTTTAAGGAGGTTATGTTTGTTTTGGAGGTGTGGTTTTAAACTTCTGATCAGCTCTAAAACAGCCTTTGTCAGCTTAAGCGTTGTTTTCAACTAACTGCTGCTCAGAAAGTTTTTTGTCTCACTCCCATTTCTCCTTGATGACTGTTGAAGCTCCACTTGGAAACCTGATAAGATCAAACCAGGCAAAATATGATTTTTGGCCCTTTTTCTGGTGTTCTTAAACTTTTGATTGGGACTGTGAAATTAGTAGTAAAACCACACACAACTCAAACCCTCCACATGTGTTTTAAAAGTCCATGTAGCACAACCTCCACGGGGTCTGAATCCATCTCTTCTCGCACATCTTCAACGTCATTTGGTATAATCTTCACTGAAGACTCTTTATTGTCCTTTAAACACAGGGAGATATAAAACATGCCCACTACCCACCATCATATTCAGGACAAGTAAAGAAGATTTGTTTAAATTCAAATCCTCACCTGAGTCTCTACGGTAACTCCTGGGTCAGCAGTGATGGGAGGTCCCAAAGGTGCAGGCTGTTTTTGGTGTCGCTCCAGAGCATCACCGCTAACTTCTGTCACTAATATTTTACAAGTTTCCACCCAGTTAAAAGACTCCATCTGTGGACAGAAATGGGAGTTTTATAAATATCTGCAGCACAAATGTATGAAAGGATTCGTATCCTTTACCTGCAGCTTTTTGCATGCGTTCATCTCATTTTCAAACACAGATGCATCGTGCTGCAGGAGCATCTGCTCCTCCAGAACCAAGTTGCATGATCTAAAAGAAATCAGACATTTTCTGTGGAGTAAATTCAGAAAAATCTCCCTTCTACTGATTTCTCTGGACCAAGAAATCAAAATTATGTTTTAACACATACACAACAATGGTTAGATGTTATAATAATGTGTAAAACATGTATTATTATATTTACTGTAGAATCAAAGTCTGCACACCTGAAACGGATAACAACTACTAATACCTGGTTATTTGGCTGGAAAGGCTGACCAGTTTCTCAGACAGCATGTTGGCGACCTCATTCAAAGTCCTTAGAGAGACGCCGTCAGGCTCCAGTTCATGGTTCTGCTCCTCACCTTGATCAGGAACCATGACAAGCACCAGATCCAGCATCCACTGAACCAGAGCCATGTGAACAGAATTGACCTGGTAGGAGACAATAAAACTTTATGATCTGACTGTAAATCTCCACAGAACTATTTCTTTAAAACAACCCGAGACTTACATCCTCCCTCAGTTTCTGGTTCTGGTGCTCAGTGAAGATGGACAGACTACTGGTGGTCTCCTGAATGTCTTCTAACACTTTGTTTGTGTGTTTTCTGTTGGAACAACAAAACACAACACCGCCATTTGTCAAAACAATAAAAACTGCAAGGGAGTGTTTGATTACATTCTATAAATTATACAAAACTACATAAACATTATTCTGATAGACCAGTTTTTACATTTAAACAATAACGTGTCTGAAACAAAGACTTACTGTAAGTCAAGCTTGTTCTCGTCTTTTCTGCTCTCTCTCTGCCCGGAGGGAAAAATCAACAAAGCTTCTTCAGCTAAACTCTGGCCTTTAAACAGCGCTTCCTCCAGCTTAAGCCAATCAGAGAGGGGCATCATTTCAAGCTGTCCAGTCACATCTGAGGTTTTCATTACCCAGAGGTCCAACAACTCCACCAGGGACTTAATCAGTCTGAAGATCCCTAAAACAACACAAGCATTTGTCTAAAGGAGCAGAAGTGGATGACCTCATCATGTGGGAAAGGTAGTAACTGTATGTGACCTCACCACTCTTGTCACTGACTTGAACCTGGAGCAGTTTGAGGAGCTTGGTTACAACCCTGTCCAGGTCATTTAGGGCCTTTTGGCCCTGGAGGGCCCCAGAGTGGGGAGAAGGGTGTCTTTCATAGAGCGTGTGGCTCTTGCATAACCATTTCTCCAGGACTTGGCTGAGTTCGCTCAGTTTCTGCTGACACAAAAGGTGTTTCTCACCCCGATGTTCCTCCCACTGGAGCAATGTCTTCAGGAAGAAAACAGACATCTGTTTACTGGAGTTAATGTTAGATGTTTTCGTTTTTAACAAATCAACAAGACTGGTGCAACAGTGCACACAGCTAAAACGGCATCTCCCTCTAGAAACATTATAACAACAGTTTATCCTAAAATGAAGAGTCACTGATAAAGTCAAATCCGTAACGAAACATTAATAATTCAAGTGATCTTAATATATTTTTGCCAAAAATAAATAACATTCAACTGCCAACAAATGTGAGGATAACACAGATGAAAACGGACGGGTGACGATGATCATTAGAGAAAAAAAAGACGTGTTTGATCACAAATCACATCAGAGACGTGACAGATCTAATATATTAAAGTCCCATCAGTTGTCACACACTGGTGTGAAATTTGTCCTCCACATTGGACCCATCCTCGTGGGGAGTGTTGAGCTGCAGACTATTTGGTGCGTATATATGTGAAGGAGATTTTTATCAGACAGATAACACAAACACATGCACAAGTGCATACACACGCACAAGCACACAAACATGCACACACACGTCATACCTCTGACCACTGTTTCAGATCAGCATGAATCTCTTTCACTGATGTTTTTTCGTATTTTGGATCAGGACACCTGGTAAAACCAAAGGTAAAAACCACAGAAAACAAATCATTAATACAGTTTAACGCCCAATTTATAATTCGCTATCTGCGTCGGGACAGAGACACGCAACGCCATTGCATATCTAAGCAAAAGCTCTCCAACGTGCTCGCAGAGAAAGGCGGAGACATGCCCCAAATATGTCCTTCAACGGAGAAAGCAAGCTTGTGATTGGTCAGGACGCTGCTTCCTGTAAATTTGTCAACCGCACCGTCTTTGCCGCTTCAAAAGTCAAGAGATATTTAGCGGCAGACACGGAACAGATTGAAGAATGCATCGTGGAAAAAGTCTAAAAATATGAACGTTTATTCACCCGTGACTGAAGGGGTACAAAGATACACAGCAAGCATTTTATTCAGGGATGGAAAGGATGAGAAACGTGGGTTTAGAGGCGCTGATCGCATGAAGAGGTGGAGGAGAATGATTTGTCCGTGTTAAAAAGTCTCTGAAATACATTAAAACAATGTTAACACAATACACACCAACATGGACCGGATACGTGACTGTAAAAGTGGCAGGATCCCTCCGTCTTCCTGCTAGGGAATTGTTTTAAAACAATCCCCAGCTGACAGAGAAGCGTAAATTAGGCTTTACTAAGACTGGATGTCAGTTTTATTTGACTCAAGGACATTTAACAAAAACAGATTGTCCTCACATCAAACACATCCTCTGGATAATTGTCAGCTTTTCTTACTGATTCTGCGTGCTGATGAAGGACAACCACTTGGAGATGCCCTGCTGTATGTCAGTAATCTGAGTACACTGAGCATGCTGAGTCTCCTCCAGCTCAGAGACGAGAGCCATCAGCTGCTCCTTCCAGTAGCTGGTTAACTCGATGATGACATTAAGATCGTCCGTATCCTGCAGCAGGAGAGACATCAGAAAAATAAGACTAACTCAATGATCCATGTTGACGGTATGAAACAGGAAGTGCATCTTTACCTTTGAGGAGAAGTAAAGTAGGCAGTGTTCTGCAGACTTGAACCAGTAATTCTCACTGACATGCAGCTGACGGACCAGATGCAGCTTCTTCACACTGATCACCTAAAGATGAAACTTGATATTTTACTTTAATTGCAGCAAATACTGTTTTAAAGCTGCTGTATGTATGATTACTCAGAAATACATGAAAGGGATTGTCATCATGTACTGTGATATTATGTAGGAAATACGTGTTTTTGGCTAACTCCGCCCCCAGTCCCATAGAGCTCAATTCAATTCAAGTTTATTTATATGGCGCCAAATAACAACGAGCGTCATCTCAAGGCACTTCACACAGTAAACTTTCCAATACAGGTCAGTTCATTAAGCCAATCAGTGAAAAGTTTCCCAAATAAGGAACCCAGCATGTTGCATTGAGTCACTGACTAGTGTCAGAATCTTTACAGCAATCCTCATACTAAGCAAGCATGCAGCAACAGTGGAGAGGAAAACTCCAGAGGATCCTGGCTCAGTATAAGCAGCCATCCACCACAACTCACTGGGGATCAAGAAGACAGAGCAGACACACACACACAAACACACACCATATAAATACCAAGTATTTATATCTCTACATTGTGACTTCTATGTAGTAAGAGATGAACTTTATGCTCTTTATCTTAGTGAATCTATAATGAATTCAACAGGTGAGCTAGTAGCACATTCCATGGAAAGTAAAATGTTATCAGGAGAGGGAGAATGTTATATGCTTAGCAGTTGTGATGCTGCTGTACTGTTTTGTTGGCTAGAGGAGCACATTCATCAATGAGGCATTGCTTTCGGCCTTAAATACAGAAATGAAAATAGGTCAAGATGTGATACGCATGTTGGCCACTAGATGGTGCCATCAGGTAAAAGCAGCTCAGAAAAAAAAAGATCATTGACATTTGATCCTTTGACAGGGTCTTTCAAATTTCCAAGATTTTGTGCATCCTGTGAAATCCCATGACATCCTTACATTTGTGACAATTACAAATGAAAGACCTAAAGGCACAAATAAACAAACCTTTAGGGCGATGCGTAAGGTGAAGTGCTTCCAGCAGTCGCGCTCCTCAGCCATGCGGAGCAGCTGAGCCTCTAGGCGAGCTCGTTCCCTTTCATACAGCTCATGGTAACCCTGGACAAACCTGAGAAAGAAACTTCTGTCCACTAGCAGGCAGCAGTTTTGTGCCTTTCAGAGACACACTGTTACCTAAAACTATAGTTTTGACTCCTTCTGCCCCCCCACCCCCCCCCCAAAAAAAAACCTCTGAAATTAAACTCAGTGATGAAAAATTTGTGCAAATCCAGTTAAAAAAATCAATTTGTCTGCCATGATTCATTGTTGATTAATGCTTCAGAATTAGTCCTAACCAGCAGTCTTGTTTAATGTACATGTGGACTGCAATAAATATTTTATATCTATTAGATTAAAGTTTATAAGTCTGATGAATTTGTTATTTGGACTGAATGAACAGCAGGTAAGACTGACTCTGAGTAGTGAGTCTGCATGATGTCTTCAGACAGTTTGTGGTGAGCGTGCTCCACCTGCTGGGAAACATGTGAATTGTGGTCTCTGGTTTTGGATAGTTCCCTGTGGACACACACACACACACACACACACACACACACACACACACACACACACACACACACACACACACACACACACACACACACACACACACACACACACACACACACACACACACACACACACGCAGAAAAACACAAATCAGAAAAACACAAATCAGAAAAACACAAATCAGAAAAACACAAATCAGAAAAACACAAATCAGAAAAACACAAATCAGAAAAACACAAATCAGAAAACACAGATCTAATGTTTGCTAGCTAGTATTTAGCCCTTTTAAATAAATGCATGTTTTTATTTTTGATGACAAAAGTAGAATCCGACCAGGACATCTGATCCTGATCTACCTACATGTGTAAATGCTGCATTGACGCCTGGATTCGGCAGACTTCCTCCATGAGGCGGCGGTTCAGAGCCCGCTGAGCCACTGTCTCAGTGTGTAACGCCTTCAGACGACATGGGATTCTATCCAGCAGAGACTGGTACCGCTGTCTTTGATTAAAAACATTAAAAGAAAACAAATCTTTATTATATTACCATTTGGTGTTTAAACTTGAGACAGACATGAACTGCCTCATGAGAGGTTTTAAATGTGTCACCTAAGTTTGGCGAGCACCTGTCCTCTCTCAGCACACTCCACAGTCACCTGTCTGATCAGCTCATGGAAAACAACATTATAGATGTTCTGCTCAACCTTCACCAGCTCAAGCAGACCCTCAAGCTGTGAAACACATCACAGAGTGAGTCTCAGCAATACAACAGGACGTCATTAAGTCATTATACTGCTAGAAGATTCTGTCGGCAGATGAAATGATAAAAACATGTTTCCAGCATCCACAGCAGCAACCTTTCAGTTTAGTGTGCTTTTGCCATACAGGCTTTGTGCAGGTTTCAGGAAGCCACATTTGAAGACCCTTCTTAAGGCCACTTTGATCCAATTTAAGAGCTTACATTCTCAGGATGAAAAGGGGATGTGATCACCTTAGAAACTGTTCTGTCCTAACCTTTTATTGGGACTGAACATCAAAATAACTCTGCTCTGCAAAAGATGAAGGTATTCTGCTAAAACAAACGATGCAGCAAAACTAAACCTGCACTTCCTCATAGCTCAGTCACCCACTAGCTAAAACGGCTAATGTGCATGCCTGAAAGTAGCCCCCTCCCACCCACACACACACAACCACCCAACCGCACGCACGCATGCACACACCCACATGAATGTTGGGGGTTCCACTCATATCAGTCTCATACACAAAAATGCAAAACACCTAGTGAATATTCAAATAATTCTTTCTAAATATTTTCTAATAAAGTAAAGCAGTCTTGCCTATTGAGTCTGTGGTCGTTTTTAAGACCGTTGGACTTTAAATTTAAAGTTTACTTGTTATTTTTAGGGATTTTAAGGCCTTAGTTGTGCAAAGTCTAATTTAAGGCTTTTAAAGATGTGTTAAGGACCCACAAATATGCTGCTGAAATATATATTTTTTCTTCCGATGAATGTAAGACTGTAGGCCTGTCAGCTTCGGGAATGAAGCACCTACTTGGCATGGCTGGGTCAGCTCTTCGTTCTGCTGATGCACACCGGCCTTCTCCAGCATGTCATCCATCACCGTCATGAGCTGGACCGCTTCCAGTCGGCCACTGGGCCTCCTGGACACACACATATATCACCAAACAGACTCCCACGACAACGTCAAACACCTTTTTAACCAGCGTTTATCCTATTTTCTTCATACTATTAGTTTGGACAATTTCTAAAACAGGTCCCAATGTTTCCCACTGAAAACAACATGATGAATACTTCTAGGTCTGTTTGATTATTTTATTCTTTTTGGACTCACAAGGATGGAAGAACTCGTAACCTCCGCTCTTGATCCTTCAGCTGAACTGTGAATGCACTGTGGAAACACACAGCCACATAAAACCCAAACTCCACTCTGGCTCAAAGAAGGGCAGGACAGTGACTCACTCGTCATATAACTCCAGACAGCTCAGCCCTTTCTTCTTTACAATGTGATATTCTTCTGGGATGACATGCTCAGAGACACACGTGTTCTGAAAGGCCAGAACAACGATCAGCTTGGGCAAATACATGATTTGATGGCAACAAATGGAAATCATTCAACATCAATCATGCTTCTGAGAGTCAGAACTACATGCACTACCTCTTAATTAGTGTTATAACACATTGACACATTGGTTTTCTACAGTATAAAGAAATAAAAGACATGTTTATGCAGCTCACCTGCATGTCCAAAGGATTTTTGACACTCAGTGATGGGAGTGGCCTAGCTGTCCTCTGTGCGTCCACCGCATCACACAGGAAGGAAATGTCCCTGTGGAAGACATTTATATAGAAACTGTCTCCTCAGATTGAGAGATGCACTAAATGTTTAACAGGTGATTCATATCAGCTGATTTTCAGTCAGGTCAGAGCTCTACTGCAACCGGAAATCAGTATCGGGCCTTAAAGGGACTTTTCGGACTTTTGAATTTTTATGCTCGTGATTGCCCCCTCAGGCCAAAAGCGTAAAGGCAGCTTCAATAGTAGGCTCGTGCACGAAGCACGCATGCTGTACGTGCACACCCCTTAACGAAAATAACAGCTGAGACAGTCCCGTGTGTGTGTGTGGCCCGGAGGACAGAGGACAGGAGAACGCGCAGCTAATTAATTAAATAATTTGGTTCTGTACCTTTCTCTTCAGCACAGCTGACAAAGGTTTATGATGGTTCAGTCCTCCTGCATGCTCAGATCATTCCCTTCCCTTGCTTGAAAAATTGTTCCAAAATGAAAGTTGAACCCACATCTTTTTTATCTGTGAATTCAATGCCGTTCGGCGAGTCTCAAATAAAAATTTGGGCATCTTACTGTAAAAAAATATATACCATTAATGTAAAAAAGAAACTAAATGATCTATGTTCACACCCAGAATCGAACCCAGGTCTTCTGCATGGGAGTCAGACATCTTACAAGGTGAGCTACACTCTAATAACATTCACAGTATCTGTAACTTTTATATCCTTGATGACACCTGAAACAACGTCAAACCAAAGAACGGTTCGGAGCGAAAATGGCTATTTTGTTGCTAATTTGCAGGAAATATCTAGAAGAAAGTTCTACAGAAAGTAGCTAAAGGTCCTCAGAAATGTAGCTAGGTTCATCACTAGGCGTTAGGAACAGCGACAAAGTCGCTGAGTTGGCACTGCCTCTCTCTCTGCTGCTAAAGCTACTGATAGCAAATGCTACGGGCGATGCCTGAGCGTGAACGCGCATGAAGCAGCCTGCTCGACCCGAGCATCTCTCTTTTTCTGTGATTTTACAGAAAAACAGGCAATCACAGTAAAAATGCCAGGGCTCATTCTACAGGACCAGGGCATTGCAGGAGAATGTATGAAGAAGAAATTTATTATTTCTATACATGTTTTGGCTGTCAAACTTCCATAATGTCCCTTTAAAACCAAACTCAGCGCACCTCCAACTAAGCATAAAGATGACAAACATAAAAGAGGCGATGAAACAACACTTTTGAATCAGTTCCAGCTGCTGACTGTAAATTTGTCCAAACATCACAGCTGCCACAAAAATGTCTGTTGTGGGTCAAACTGACCTGCCAGCTCCCGTCAGCGATGTCGGCTGCTCCAGGAAATATCTGTACTTTTTGCGACCAAGTGGATGATACCAGATTGGATCTGGCCGTCTGATTTCAAAGTTCTGTATAGAAAATGAGCTTGAGAAAAACAACAATACAACATAACAAACGGCCATATTGTTAAAAACTGAGTACATGTAGAATATGTAGGTACATTTTCTCAGTCTAATGAAAGAGGGAGTATAAAAAGGGATGGAACAGCTTGCTGTGGTCTCATGGAGGAAAAACTGCAACGTGCATTTGGAGAAAAAGTTCATTTGAAGACAGTTGAAGGAGCATGAAGTAAAAATGGCTGGTCAAATGTGGGTACTGCAGCCCGTGTTTCAAAACAAACAAGTAACTCTCGCTCCCATTCCACGAGTTTCATGGCTGTTAAGCGCTGCAGCTCAGAGCTAGAAGAATGTAGATAACGAGTAAAGACGAAGTTGATAAGTAGAAAAATACATTTCACTCTGTAATACTGAGCTGCTGGTAATTTAAAAAGTAGCTTTAGAAACTTTTAGACCGACTACTTGTTTCCAATTACCCGTTAGCATTGTTAGCTAATTATTAGCCTCTAGCCTGCTTCATCAGATGATAAAGTGAGACAAAAAGATGCCGTGGCTTCTTACGGGTAAAAAAACAAACAACAACTTTAGGGGTAAGAGAAACAACTTCTGGGTCTCTCCTGTTTACAACAACAACTCAGCCGGTGTAGAATTTTAATTATTGTAAATTCATGTCAATAATACCCGGTTCACACTGTAGGATTGTTAAACTTGGACGATTCTCAGAACACACGCACACTTGTGGTGATATAAAAAGTCACGGATTTACCAGTTGTAGTCCTACAGTGTGTGGTATGCATACACATTACAAATACATCACACTACACACTGTAACGTCCAGAAATGGTAAATTTTCACCTACATATTGACTACATGCCACCGGTCATCTACAGACAACGTTCCATTCTGTAAAGTGGATTTTACATTCTATCTTCCAACAAGCCAGAAGATTCTGCAGTCCTTGTTGACATTCAGGGGGGACAAGATGTCAGCCTATGTTCCCAAACAAAGCTTGCTTTTGATTAGACAGCAGGATGGCACACTCTCATGAAAGATGAACTTTTACAACTCATAAGTTAAATAATCATGAAATAAACATATGGTTGAATGAACAAATGCTATATGAATAATAATATTAATGTTTGAATAATCTGTGCTTAATTCAATGAAGTTGAAATGAATTTTAATATTACAATGAAACATTTGGTGTTATGATCAGTAATGTTTGGTTTAACAAGTGAATCACTATCTACACTCATACACAATGTTCATTAGAGATAAATTAAAGTTAATGTCACTGCACATAAAGATTCTTTATCCACAGAACTAGAACATTCTTGTATCTGGAATAGACGTGTGTTCTGAGGTTTGTTTGTAAACACCTCTGGACCTCTTTTGTCCTGATTGGCCATGTAATCATAACATGGGAATATTAAAACAATCACTTGCGGAGTGATCCAGTTAGTTTTTGAGCAGAACTCCGGACTGGCCACCGGGGGAAAACTCTCTAACCACCGCAACTCTTGACAAGCTGTCAAAACCTACACGCTACAGCTGACACAGCAGAACAGTTCCTTCAGCTATTCAGAAACAGCCGTTCTAGATGCAAACGATTTCATCTATCTGTTGTGATCTGGGAGACGACTCTGGACCGACCTGGTCGTACTGCGGTCTTTTCTACGAACTTCGGTACCTTGGGGTCACCAGACCCCTGACATCTCGGATCCGAAGGAGAGTCTCCTCAGGGGTACGTAGAACACAGCAAGATTGCGTCTGGTGCCCTTTTGATAAGAACCAACTTCATAGTTTAATGTAAACCAAATTCTTTTCACACCCTGAACAAAGTTTCTTCTAGATACAAGGTTCTGATAAGCACACACCACTCAATCATCATACATCACATCCCATCCACGTATCCATCACATTTGTCTTATCTAACTTGTCTTGTTTTTAATTTGTTTAGAAAATATATTTCTTACTTTTTATAAACCTGACTGTCTGAATCGATACGAAGTGTGGTTGATCACTGAAAAAGCAAAGAATCCTAATTCTTCTGATTAAACATTCAAAGACCAATCAGAGTCGTACTCTATATAGAATATCACAGCTTATTGGTCATAAGTAAAGGTAATATATTAAGCTTAAAAGCAACATATTCACACCCTTCTACAACACAAACCAATTTCACACACAAACATTCCTTGGTCAGATAGGAAATCTCGCAAGATCCAATGCAACTTTGGAGTAAACATGGCGGAGGAGGAGCATGTTGCAGTCTTTCATCACTTCAGTTCAGATTATCTAAACATCAAATTCAACGGGCAGCACATGTTTGACCTCCAAACTCAGACCAAGACAATACAAAACATTTGATTACCCCGATTTATGATTGAAGCTGCTGTCTCAATGTACTTTGAAGCAGACACACGATAGGAATATCCTAGAAGATTTTCTTTAGAGCAATTGCGGTATTCAGGGGTGTCCTTAAGAATGTTGGAAGGGTAGGATCACGTTAAGAATCAGCACAAGTTTCCTGCCATGTGAGCCGGACTTAAGGTGTACACTAAATACCTTACAGTGGCGGTGATGTGCAATGAGGCTCTTGGTGCTCCTGTTACAGATGGAGGAGGTGAGGTTGACCATGAGCTCATGTGGGATCCTCTGGGGTCTGGCAGGAAGAAGCTGGTTGTTTTCTCTCCCTGGTTGAGCTTGGATCTTTAGATCTGCCACCATCAGACACATAAGAAGCATCTTAACAAGCTGAATCAAAACCGGTGACATTTAAATTTCAGAGTGATACAAAACACTACAAGCTCTAATTAAATATTTAATGGACTGTTTATACAAAAGTTTCCTACTGTGATGGATTAGAATTTACACCACCACTTAATTTTTTTCAGTGAAAGACTGTTTAGGATGTCCATTAAAGGAAATGTTTCCATCTTTATATGACTATTGTTCACCAAGCTCCTCTTTCCCCCATTTCGACTGAAGTCACTAGTGTGAGCATGTAGTGGCAAATATAAAAAGCAGTGAGTACTCTTGGCTCAGAAAGCCAACAGTTAACGATGAAATATTAGTAAATATAAATGAATGAATGTGTAATAATGAACATCTTAAATATGAAGTGTTAAAGCTCTTTGCATCTTCTCTGGCCCAGCTGTAAGTTCAGGCCTTGATTGCACCTGTGAGTGCAGACAACCGGCTTGTTTGATTTGGTGAGGTTTCAAGCAGATCCCCACTGCTGCTGCCTGTTGTCCTTGTTGCTGGCTTGGCTCATTTTGAATAAAAAAAAATACTTTTGAGCTGCGTAATTGTGTTGTGGCAAACAAGGGGTGGGGCAGGTTGAGAAGGCTGAATTTCCTGATTGATGTGTGAAAATCTCCTATATGTAAATTAAGTGAACAAAATAATCACAAAATTCCTTAAAACTATTTATTGTGTCAGCATGTTTCTTAGAGAACAGACATTTTAGGTATAAATGAGAAAAAAACAAAAGTTGCACAACAGCAGGGGGCCAGTTCCCCCACTAGATCGCTCCTGTGGCCCAAAGAGCTAGGTCATAACCAAATTAACATGTATGTCTATGGTCATAAGACAGCTACAGTAATATATCACATCCCTGTTTAGTCCAAGCGAATGTGGGGAAAGTTGGCTGTTTTCTATCTAAACTTGTTTATGCCTGCTAGGCTGTGTCTCAATTCAGGGTCTGCATCCTTCGAAGGACCCAGCCCACCCGGCCGACGTGGGCTGCGTCCTCCGTCGGCCGGGTAGACCGGATGTTAACGGCTGTGAATTTGGACAGGCCTAGCCTTCATGAACTCCCTCGGCGAACGTTCCGTCGCCTAGCAACCGTGGAACCGCTGGGCAGAAGGGAGAAGGAACTTTAAACGATGGAGCTCGACGTTTTATTTAGCTTTTTAACCCCCAGAAACCCAAATTTAGAAAACAACTGCAAAATATTTTTTTAACCTTTCACATGTTCTAGGAGGCCAGATAAACGGGCCTATTTACACATTTTAACAGCCAATAGTGTTGCAGAACTGAACAATAGGACCTATTAGCAATGTAAATGTGGTTTTAAAAAGAAAAAAAAATGGGGAAGGTTTATTCTTGTAGACTTAAATCTGATGTTGTAATATTACAACCGTGGGTCTCTGGGGGTTAATCATTTCCTTGACTGTTGGAGAGCTAATTCAGAGAAAATACTTTAGACTAGCTGAGCCTGAGCAAAGATGTGATAATAGTTTTTAATACTTTCTAAGGGTCTTAATTTGACCAAAACCGATTTATCACCTTTTAAGACTTTTCAAGACCCAGCGGATACCTTCTAGTAAACAATTCTCATTTGTAAACAAAAATAAAATTCAAGAGTTTAATGCAGAACTGATTTTATTTAGATATTTCTTTTACATGTACATGTTTAATCTTCCTTAACCATTTTTTTCTAGCAAAGTAAAAAGCTGTCAAAGTTCTTCCTTCTCTCCTGGGCTCCTGCTGCTCTGCAGCCTCATGTCCTCCCAGATCAGCTCCAGAAGCTCATCGCTGGCACCTTCCCCTGGATGCCCATTTTCTCCAGAATAGTCTTAACAAACATGTAAGAAAAGAAACAGGAAGAGAAAAGAGGACAACGGGTTATTCCTTTCATGTTTTCGCAGAAAAAAAATAAACTCAAACGAGTTTTTAAAATATGAGATGTTATTGTACCTCCATGCCACAGCCGCCGAATACTTTGCTCCGGTGATCATGTGGTCCATCTCCGTCCTAAGCTTAATAAATTCCCTGGTTTTCTCTTTTGTTCCTAAAATACAAACTTCTATTAAAATCAGGGGGAAACGTAGCGGGAGAAGTACGACACCGAGCGCGGCCGAACATACGAGCCGAGACCGCAATACAAGCACTTTTACTGTAACATTTCTAACTAAAATAACGTTCATGTATCACAAAAAGTCCTTAAACTGACAGTTTTCAAGTTTATACTTACATGTATATGCGCAATCCTCTCCGACAGCTCCCGCTTCACTGTCCGCCATTGTTTTTAAGTTTTTCTGCCGGCCGGCCCGCAAGGCATCTTGGGAAATGCTACCTATTGAAGGATACACCCGACCCATCCTTCATTCAGGCGAAAAGAAGGCCGCATTCGTCGACCGCATTTGAAGGAGTCTTCGAATTGGGACAGGCCGAGTCGCGGCGCTGTGACGTAACCGGCCGACGAATCCGGCCGAGGTAGGATGCAGACCCTGAATTGAGACACAGCCCTAGTGTTTAGGGCTAGCTTGAGTAAGCTAGCAGCAAGACTAAAGAGTAAAAATGCTGCTGGAACTTTTTCTCATGAAAGAACACTAATTCATTATTAAAGTGTGCAACGTTAAGTAGAAACACAAACTTGGTGTGACGGTGAGTTCATTGTTTATGAATGCACCTGTTAGCGAAGCAGCTCCGCCATGTTTAACGTGCACCAAGCATCGGATGGATGTGAATAATTTACCGTCGCGGGAGGAGTCCGGTGGCCTCTCCGGTCTCCGTGAACTTGACGCCAAACGAGCTCTCGTCGACTCTGACATGTTTCCTTACTTTCCGGTGAAAGACTCACTAAGTTTGAGACACTTCCCAAATCATGCGGAGACGAGCGTAGTTTGTTTGACGCCGCAGCCTCTACTACCTGGTGCTGTTGCTATGGAAACGCATTGCCTCTCACTCATTGGTTGGTCAGATGCGCTCCTCAGGAAGTATTTTCTGTCATATTGATGTTGTAAAGGTCACAAAGGTTACAGCATCACTAAGCTGTTTGTTTTTCCTTCTTTTACTCACGTTTCCCTATTTTTTTTTACATAAGCAACTGTATAAAAATATCTAAATATACACGTATTTCAATGTTATATATCCTTTCAATAAATTTAAGATAAGCCACGGAAAAATGTCAAACATTAAAATTGATGAATGTAACTATAATTCAAATATTGCCATGAACAATACAGGTTTGTCAAAAAACATTTACCTACAACCCAAAGGGTTTGGAGTGTTTTGGCTTAAAAATTACACCAGTAATAAATTGTAGTTTGGCTTAAAAATTACACCAGTAATAAATTGTAGTAAATTATAGTTTTTATCATTTTGGTCGCACACACACACCATTAGAATCTGCATCTCTGTGGATTATCTGTTTTATTTTTGTTTCTTGCATCCTGACTTTGGTTTGGGATAATTTCCTTTCATGAGGCTCATTGCTTCATTAATTTGTGCGTGCGCGTTTGTGTGTGTGTGTGTGTGTGTGTGTGTGTGTGTGTGTGTGTGTGTGTGTGTGTGTGTGTGTGTGGGATTAGGGGGTGTAGCCCCCCTGCTCAAAGCCACGCTCCAGTCTCTAACTGTCTCATCTGTGATGGAGGCTGTGGATGGTACTCCAGCATGAACAGAGGAGAAGTGTACATCAAGTGGGTCTGGAGTTGACAACAGCTGAGCCGCTTCAGGCAGAAACAGAAAAATCCAAAAGAAGACAGATCTGCTGCTGATGAGTCTTAAATACAACAAACAGGATGATTTCCAGCCATGAAAATGTATTTTATTCTCCATCATTTTTTTGATTTTCTCATCTTCACACTTTTTGTCTCTTTGCTTGTAGTGATTGATGGTAAGTGACTGCTCCTGTTAAGTTTTAGCTGCTGCTCATTATTCGCTTCAGAAGTGTAATCTAATGTCATGCTGTATTGTGATAAACTTGCACGTTGTATAATTTACACCAGACACTTTCTGGATAGTCATTCAGCTAAAACCTGAGAGATAGAGTTGACATGAGGAGATCCTGTGACCACCCAGTGAGCTATTTGCATTCTCTAAGTCCTGCAGACAAACTAAATCAAAACGTGCTGTTTTTATCCAGATTGCTGCAAAACCTCAAAGGTAAAATCCATAAAAATTGCATAAAATAGGATGTGAGTTCCTGCATTTTTAATCAGATCTATGTTATGAGTGTGCATCTTGATCAGTTCCTGCTCAGAATTTCAATGACATGACTGCGGAGTGACATCATGCTTAGATTATTCTCCTCTGGAAAGCTAAAGATGACTAAAAGAGAATCCGACAATACAAGGGCTGCTCAGAGTGACCCGTGGAAAGCATCCAAGAACTGTCAGGGGAGGTTGTGGACATGTGATTGCACATGTCGCCGTTTCTGTCTGAAACACCTTGAAACATTATTTCTTCTTATCTCCACTGAAACAGACACATGCAGCAGCAACATGCATCAGTGCAGAGGCGATGTCAGGAGCCCCACATGTGCCATTTTAGGACCTTTAGAAAAGACCAAACAAAGCCCCTCAGAAGTGATTTACATATGAAGGAGCCTCGCTTGCGGCGGGAGGGGATGTGAGCTGGGCTGGAGCGCTGCCCCTGGCTCTGGAAAACAGAAAGAATTCCAGATTCTAGAAAACATCACCAAAAATATTTTTTATTAACAGCTGAACTCCTTACTGCTGAGGCTTGAATGCACCTCTCTGTTAGATCTGAGCTGATCTGAATTTAAAGGCTGATCCGTGCTGTAATGAGGACTAAAGTAGGCTTATGTTTGGTGCATCACCGCTGATACTCCTGATCTTCATCACATCCTGCACTCTGAGTCCAAGTCTAGACACGTCTCAGCCGCTCCTGGGGGATCCTGCTGGTTGTTTATAAAATTAACTGACCTCCTCCACCAATGACAATCAACGTCTGAACTGGAGATGATGGAGCACAGATGTGCTTTTCAACATCTTAACAGCCTCTTAGCCTGATTGCTCTTTTGAATGACTGTCACCTTTTTGGGATCACTGGAACCGTTTTAGCTCAAATCAACTGAACAAAATGAGTTTTTATCTTTCTTAAACCCGTCACACAAAACACTCAAGATCTCCATCTGATAATCATGTCCTGCTTTCAAGGCTCTTCAAAACGTGCTGAAGCGTGATTGTCAGTCTAATAGAAACACTCCAGCAGATCTGAAGCCTCCTTTCTGTCTCATAATGTTTCTTCTATATTCCGCTCATAGTTTGTCCGTTTTAAGGATCCATGCAGGAAGCTGTTTTTTGTTTTCTAGCTGTTGAAGCTGCAGGGGAGGATGTCCCACAGCAAACATATCAATGACCTTAAAGAACAAGTCATCTTCAAATCAACTTTTTTTGCTGATAAACTGCATACGTGAGTGTCTAATCGAGCTGTACACATGTGTAGTCAACAATTTGGCTCATCTTAGTTCAAATTTTAATATTCTGCCTAAAACTGTCAGTGTTCCTCAGATAAAAACACTGCAATACATTTTAATTTAAATCTGCCATCGCTATTGGCCAAGGGGTACCCTATGATTTTAGCTGGTACATTATGATGTCACAATGTTGTTGTGAGCCTGGCCGTTTCTCAATACTCAAGGACGCTAGTACGTTCTTGTGTACTAGACAAGTATGTTCTTGGCAAGGACACCAATATGTCTGTTTTACCGAATACGGGAGGACAAGAACGGCAAGTGCTGCTTCTTGCTACGGTTAAAAAATGACCTGACAAAAATAAAAGTCTAATTTGTTCCTTAAAAAAGAAAAATAAATGTATTATTTGCATTATATTTGGAATACTTTGATCAAAGCTGACAAAATTCTACCATTTCCTGCACTCTAATTAACTAAAAAAGTAAATTTGTCATTAGAACAGAGCTAGAGTGCTTTTATTTTAATAGTGGGTTAGCTAATAAGCATTTTTGGGGATCATGAAGAGTAAAACTCTAATGCACACAGCAAAATTTACAGGTTACACACAAATATTTACAATAACAGACAGCTTTATATTGTTTTATTTGTGACTGTAATATAAAACATGACAGTTAATAGCTTTTTCCTCTGTTGTTCGGAGTTTAACTGTTTGCCATACAATGCATTACGGCAAACTTTGCTCTCCCAAGTCCAACGAACTTGCCATCATGCAGGATTGGAATAGTCCTTGGGCCGTCGTTGATGACGTTTCCCAAGGACGTGAGTACAAAAGTTCGGACAACTATGCATATTAAGAAACGGCCCCTGTGTGTGTGTGTGTGTGTGTGTGTGTGTGTGTGTGTGTGTGTGTGTGTGTGTGTGTGTGTGTGTGTGTGTGTGTGTGTGTGTGTGTGTGTGTGTGTGCGTGTGTGTATTTGTTAGCAGCTCTGCCCTCTCAGTCTGCCAGGCAACAGCATTTGTAGCATTTTTCAAACAGGAAGTGGGAGTGAAGTAAGACTCTAGTAGGGCGTGACTTGCTCATTAAAGAATGATTGAGTAATTTTGCAGCATGTGACAGTTCAACAGTTCAATTTTTAGTTTACTTTTGTGACTATAGCCTCTTTTATAAGACACACCATGCCAGCATGGCGTTGTGCGACACTTGCGGCATTTGTTCTGCCTCGCTTGGTAGTAATATTGCAGTAATGGTCTGTCTTATGTGCCCTGGTGCAACAGAGGCAGATGTCATGATGACATGGGGAGTTATTGCTGAGCTCCGGCTGGCAAATTTATTGAAAATGAAAGTAAACACAGGCAATAAGGTTTGCTTTTGAACAAAATCAGCTGAGATGGCAAACTGAAGCGCCGCGGCGCTCCATGAGCCTCTCTGTTAGAGCTGAGGCTCAGATCACCAGAGAGGGACTGATGGGGACAGACACCTTTAGGAGCTGCTTGTTAAAAAAACGTAACGATCACGGCTTCAATCGCAATAAAAAGCAAGTTATGTCCAAGATAAACGGAAGTCTGCGGCAGCACAGAGACCGCCTCCATACCCTCTTTATGCCGCCATCACCTAATCTTTTGTAAGATTGCCACGATTGCGCCACATTACCGCCACGATCTGATCTTATAAACGACCTTTATCCTCCCCAGGGAGCCACAGCAAATCCCATTTTGCAAACGCTATGGTCCTGAAAAAACAGCTTATATGATTTTTAGAGGGGTTACACCAAAGTTACTCTAAGGTGTGGCCCAGGGGCCACTTGAGGCCCTTGGTAGAATTTTGTCTCTCCTGCAAACTGTTGGTGCAGATGGAAACGTTTATTATATATATATTTAATATTATATGTTCCAGTAAAATAAATGTTTTTACTTGGTTAAATCTAATCCAAAGTATTAGGTTTTTCAGCTTCATCTTAAATCGAACCACAAACCCTCACTGACTTCGTGAAAGTCCAGACTTGTGAGAATCATCCGTAAATGTTAACACAATTAATGAAGAAAAAGTGGCCCAAAACTCTTTTCTATTTCTATTTGTTTATTTAAGGATCCCCATTAGTCTTCGCCATGGTGAAGACTATTCTTCATTTACAATAGTACGTATACAGTGTAAGATAAATAACATACAAAACATTTAAACAAACATATCAATTGACAAGAAAATTCAGCAAAGATAAAAATCATTCAAATAAGAAAATAAAATACCCCCCCCCCCCACACACACACACACACACAGGCCAGTTAATAACTATAGAAAACTAATTAAAAAACCCACATCAGTCACTTAGTTTTAAATTATTATGTATGACCAAAGTCTTAAGAATTTTTTGGGAACCTGCCATGATCATTTATTAATTTATTAATGCCACTCCTGGAGGCAGAATATTCCAATATGAAACAGCTCTGTAAATGACTGTTCTCTTCAGGGCATTAGTTTTTGGCAGTGGAAGGGTAAAGGTTACTTGGGAGGCTACATGTCTCTTACATGTCGGTAGCAACTTTGTGAACAAACTAAAAGGTTTATGTGATATCCAAGTTTTCTGCAAAGAGATAATCAGGCTACATCCTAATCTGTCATTTACCTTCATCCAGGACAACCCGTGATGCATCCAGTTGATACTGGCTCTATGAGGACAACCGAGAGCTAGCCTTGCAGCTCTATTCTGAGCTCTCTGTAGTTTATCCACGTCCGTTTTAACTGCACTTAAATCTACAAAGTTTTACAGATATGTTCTACAAAAACAAAAAAACTCTTCTTTTCATTAAATTATTATACATGTATTGCAATATTGTACTGCTTTTAAAAAAACCTAAATATTTTTAGAGGTAGAAAAGAACTACTAAGAAGTATCGTGAGTACTTTCAAGTTGTTGATTTTGGCTTGTGTAGAAAAGTTTGGACACCCCTGGTTCACAAAAGCTTTAGAGTTGTTAAGCCTTTGGTTTTGCACAAGCAAGCTGTGAACATAGTGAAATAAATATGATTATTTACACACATTTCTTAGTCAAACATGGTGGAAATGCAACATTATAAAATTCATAATGCAGGGGCATCATGTGGCATAAACAGACTCAAGGACGGTTTGTTTTCATTGATGCAAACAAGTGTGGAAAAGCAGATTATTCTACAGATTCTTACAGATACATTTATTTTAGCAGTTTTATTTTAATTTCTCACCAAAGAACGACTATCTTTACTTAGTGATTCACACTTCAGCTCATTTATTATCGTTTGTTTGTTTCAGGAGGTGCTGCCCTGATGCCCTGCTTCCATTTGATCTATGGCTGAGATGAATAATTCTTGTAGCTGTGAGAAAAACATCAGAACCACTGTTTTATTTTGTTTTCAGGCACATCTCATGACAAGCATCCAGCTGTGGACCATTGCTTCCCAAATCCGTGCCAAAACCAGGCTATATGCCGGAACCGCGGGAACGGATACTCTTGCTTCTGCGTGCCAGGCTTCCAAGGCGCTCGCTGCCAGATAGATGTGAACGAGTGTGTTTCACAGCCCTGCAGAAACGGAGCCACCTGCGTGGACAGAGTGGGCCGATTTTCCTGCGTGTGTTCTCCTGGATTCACAGGTGAGATAAGTTCACAAAGAAATGCACCAAATTAAAACATCCACGTGATGCTAAAAGGGAGCAACTTGGCTGTTTAAATGGGAAATCTTTGATCTTTCCAGATGTTTTAACTAAATGCATCTCAGTGAGAATGGATCGAGGTGTGTAATGCATTAACGCATTAATAAACATGTACGTCTGGATGAAACAGAAAATTGTATTGTTGTAGCATCTCTGTAGGAAGGAAGAGTTCTTTTCTATGAAAAGCCTTCTCCTTCTGCTTTGCTGGTTTATCAGATGATCATTCTGAACACAACACGACTATTGTCAGGTTTAAAGACGAACAGCTGCAGAAAGAAGCTTTGCTGTGATATAAAAGAGAAATCCACACATGATCACAGCCGGTCCACATGAAAGCCCTGCTTTCTCTTTGTCTGCCTCCGACATCTCGACTGTTTTGATGTTCCCAGGGACCACATGTGAGGTCCAGACTGACGAGTGTCAGTCAGAGCCATGTCAAAACGGTGGTCGTTGTCATAGCTACGCCGAGGGCTTCAGATGCACCTGCCTCCCTGGTTTCCAAGGACACCGGTGCGAAATCAACACTGATGAGTGCCAAGAGCAGCCGTGCCAAAACGGGGCCGTGTGCATCGATGGGGTGAATGAGTAAGAAAATTAACACCTGAAAACAAGATTCTCTCTTTAAAAAGAGACCAAAGGAAATGCTTAAAACCAATTACTGATAAGAGCACGTGATCGTCTCAGGTACAGCTGTGACTGCTCACACACAGGCTTCACTGGCCGACACTGTGAGACGCCCTTGTCACAGTGCCACTCTGATCCCTGCATCAACATCGCCACCTGCAGGGACAACCACGGGAACTACACCTGTGAGTGTAGGCCTGGTGAGTGATGCAAATATTTGCATTCATGTGTTTGGCAGACGCTTTTATCCAGAGCAAGATATGAACGAGAATTAATCGAACACTAGTCAGCCTCTGTCAGAGGAAGAGAAGAAATAGTGCAAACAGCGAGGGCAGTGCACAGAGTGCTGCAGAGGAAGGGAATGGAAGCACTGGGTAAGGGATGCTCTCTGAAGAGTTGGGACGCCCCAGTTCTGGTAGGCTTGGTACATCATCCCACATAATGGAATGACACAGGAAACATCTGGAGAAGGCTTGCCAACTCGCCTGTGACGACCGGAGTGAACGAGTCATGACGGTAGCTTTTGCACGAGCAATCGAGTAGATTGGAGCTGCTTCATTCAGGAATGTGTTGGGCTTTTATCCAAGTCAGAGAGAACAAAACACATTCACACGTGTGTGTGTGTGTGTGTGTGTGTGTACCCATTTCTTCCTGACTTTGATCTCATAACAGGGTTTGAGGGGCGGCACTGTGAGATCCACATCGGTGAGTGCAGCAGCAGCAGCAGGCCCTGCATGCATGGCGGCAGCTGCATTGAGAGGTCATGGCAGGACTTGGACGGTGCTGAGCCAGAAGGAAATCCCCCGAGTCAAGCTGCAGGCTTCACCTGCCTCTGTCCTCCAGGAACAACAGGTAGCTTCTCTAAAACCAGAGTCACGAGTCACTTTTAGATTTGATTCAGTTTCATCTGCTGTTCGTTTAGTTGTGAGTTGTAGTATAAACCATGTAAAATGATGAAAAAGTAAATAACGTAATTATTTTAAGGCACACAAACAGTAACAGGAAGGTAAGTTTTTAGTTGTAAGACGCTTTTGTCTCCGTGCTCATTAGAGAAGCTCCTGTGGTGTTAAGGTTTTGATCTGTTCTCGGATCAGAACCGTGTTCTAAAAACGGACTCCCCGCCGGCCGCAGTAGCACTGACTCAGTAAGGTGGACAAATAGCATTAGCTTAATCCCCAGGATCTGGCTTTGCCGGTCTCCTGACTGGACCTGTTCAGCCCTAGCAAGTACACAAGTGCTGCAGGAACGGCCGGGACCGACTCAAACTAATATGGTGCAATAAGATGGTTCTGGGGCAGTTCTGGGGGCAAACGTGTCAGCATGATGTGGACATCTGCTCCATGGATTCTGGGGGTTTTGATGCTCGGGACAGGTAATTTGTTTTTGTGTGAATAGTTTCTGTAAAGCTGTTATGTAAGGCTGATTCACCGTCTGTTAGCAGTAAAAACACAAGACCATGACCTAAGAAGGGTTTGGGACTAAAACGTTTTTGTTTTACAGCAGGGATTTAATTTGGTGTTTTGTTCGGCTGTTTATCTCCATGCTGAGGACAAGAATTGACAAACAAGTCTGAGTAACAGAACATGTCTGACGTTATAGTCACATTTATGAATGTGAACCTTTGTAGGAACGAGGAAACGTTTGAAAATGTGTTGAAAACAAATGAAAAAGTGACTTTTTCTGATATTTGTCTGCTGACAGGTTCCTTCTGCCAGAACCTGATGAACTCATGTGAATCCAGTCCTTGCCAGAATGGCGGCAGATGTGAGAACCAAGATGGAGGCTATATTTGTCACTGCCCGAAACAGAGTCATGATGGAGTTCTGTACGGAGGAGCCAGCTGTGATGTGAAGTTGGTGGGCTGTGAGGGCCACGAGTGCCAGAACCAGGGCTCCTGCTCCCCGTTCCTGCTGGATGACACCCATGGATACACCTGTTCTTGCACACCTGGATACACTGGACCACTCTGTTACACCCCGACCACGTTCTCCTTCGAGCGCAGAGGGTACTTGTTGTTGCACAACCCCTTGTTGGATCCTGAATTAACCTGCAACATCACATTGAGCTTCAAGACTGTTTTACCCAGAGCATTGCTGTTCCAGCGGAACATCAGGGGGCTGCTGCTGAGTTTGGAGCTGGAGGGGGGGCAGCTACGCCTCACACTCAGGAGGGAGGACTCAGACGGGGCTGAAGCAGAAAGTCAGATCCTGGAGTTTCCACACAACGTCACAGATGGAGAGTGGCATTCTGTAGAGGCTGTGCTCACAAACTGGGCCCTCAGCCTTAAACTGCTGGATGATGCTGGGATCTGTGGAGACCAGTCCTGCTACAGAAAGGTGCTCGTCCAAAGAACCATAGTGGGACAAGAGGCTTCTCCTCAAAACACCTTCATTGGGGGAACACTTGAGAACCCAAACAGCTCCAGTGAGTCTTCTGCATTCCCTTTCATCGGCTGCATGCGGGACGTGTTTGTGGACTGGCAGCTCGTGGTTCCTGAGGAATGGCTGAGCGACTCGGCTGTTAACGTGTCCCCCGGCTGCAGCCACAGGGACCGCTGTCTGGATGAGCCGTGCCAAAACGGAGCGAGCTGTGTGAACCTGTGGCAGAGCTACCGGTGCCGGTGTGTGAGGCCGTACGAGGGGCATGACTGTGAGGAGGGTAGGTCTGAAACTGGAGGTCCAAGATCAACCCACGTTCCAAGCAGCAAATTATCACCAAAGGAGTAATAATTAAGGAGTAAAATACATCAGTGCTGTTGAGTCCATTTAGGGGATTGTTGTAGGGCAGTCTTAGATGCTGATGTGTAACGGAATCAGATGGAGATAAAGCAACCCAAAGAGCCACAGCTAACAGGTGTGTGTTTGTGTGTGTGTGTGTGTGTGGGGGGGGGGGGGGGGGGGGGGGGAGGGACAGAGAGGGAGAAAAGAGAGGGGGGAGGGATGGAGGGAGAAAGGCTCTTTCTCCCTCCATCCCTCACTAGAGAGCGGTATGGAGGGAGGGGAGAGAGAGAGAGAGAGAGAGAGAGAGAGAGAGAGAGAGAGAGAGAGAGAGAGAGAGAGAGAGAGAGAGAGAGAGAATCCTCATATCTGATGTCCTGGATTAAAGACACAAAGGTTCTTGTGTTTAAAGAAAAGTCTAATTTCTCAGCAGCGGGACATCGTTGTGTTCTATGTTTGATTCTGCTTTCTGCTGAATATTATTTAGTTCAGTTTTTCTGTTGGGGATCTGCAGGCTTTTGAACTATCTGATTATTTGTGCACACACACACACACAC